ACTCACCGGGCCGTTGATCCCTCTGCTCGAAGGTGTGGCGCCATGCGATGACGGACATCTTGGGGTGGAAGTGCTCCTTCAGTAGCTTCTTCAGATCTGCGTAGCTTACAGACTCTACTGGAACAGGTGCTGCAAGGTTTTCTGCGATGTCGAAGGCGTCTTGGCCACAAACACAAAGCAGGGTGGCAGCCTTCAAGCTCTCTTCCCTCACTTGGTTTGCCTTGAAGTAGTTCTCCACCCTGGCTACGTATGACTCCCACCGCTCTGGATGTGAGACGTCGAATTCCGAAAGCCTTCCGATTTTTGCCATCTTCAGGAGACGGGTCTATCAGCCAGCCTACCCCCGAATGCGCACTGGATTGGCGGGTAGCTGCCGAGTCGACGCCGTTCCGCCGCTCAGGACTCACTTGGGTAAGCTTACACTTCTTCCTTTCCAGGCGGTGTAAGGCAATCCCACCCTCGTCGCCAGTGTTGAGTCCGTGGCGGGAAGCAGACACGAGAAGCAGTTGAAGTTCTCAGTTTTCTTTATTCTGCGTTCAGCTTACAAGTAGATGGCTTCAGCAGCTCCCAAAACCTCCCAACTTCTTATATAGACATTTCCCGGGTAAATGCGATACTTTTCCCGCGCCAGCACCCGCGCATGCGCACGGCGCTGGCGACAGCCTGTCTGGTCCCGGGCAGCTTTGCACCTGCCCGGGACTGGCTGCAAACGCCCGAGCCGTTTGCAAGGCTCGGGTCATAACAGGTTGGACGGTCATTCTTATTAATACTACCTATATTAAATTGATATTTCTCTCAGAGAGGCTTTGGATAGTGAGATGGATGACATGTAGATATAATAAATAAATAAGTAAAATCCTGGACTTAGACAATATGGAGTGAAAAATGTTTGAAAGAAAGAAGACTTAATGTATATTAGTTAAGAATGCCTAAATCAGGGGTAGGCAACCTTGGCTCTTTTATGAATCGTGGACTTCAACTCCCAAAATTCCTGAGCCAGCATGGCTGGCTCAGGAATTCTGGGAGTTGGTCCAGAGTCATAAAAGGGCCAAGGTTGCCTACCCCTGGCCTAAATTGAGTACTTTTGATGACCATGGATTACAGACTGTCTTCCTCAGAACACAGAATAAGTTAGACATACTTCCTTTTGTCATGTCATCCTGCCATCTCGCACAGAAAATCAAAATGAGCATAACTCCCAGTGAGGCGAGGCTTCTTTTCCTTTCTCAAGTATAGGAAAATTGGACATCTCTAAAAGCGACCAGTTGGTTCTCAAACTAAGGAGACATTTACTGGAGAGGAAGAGAAAGATCATACTATGAATCAATTTTAAGCATCAAACTGAACCCCAGAGGCCCACAAACCAAGAATGAAAAATGCACTATGTTGCATGTGGTAGCTAGTTTGAGCCCACTTCAAGGTGCTGGCAATTACCAGTTTATTTGGAGACCTGGCCAGCCTTCTAGATTAGCTTCAGACTCAAACACTCTGCTTGGGGTGTTATGGACACATCCACACATCTCCTAACTTCAGCTCAAAGGTGCTTCTTTAATCGTGATATAAGATCACATACTCATGCTGCTGCTTTCTTCTCATCTTCCATAGCCACGACCACCTAATGTTGGATTTTACTGATCTAGCGTGAAGTGGTGGTTTGCATCTTCTTCCAGCACAACCTTCCTATTTGGTGATGATTGGGGTCTGCCTAGGATCTGTCCAGTTGCTCTGCAGGCTGTGTGTGCTGCGGATAGCCTGGACTGCCCCATTGAATGATTTGCCTGTCCATCGCGACTTATTTCTACATGGATCATCACATATAAAAATAAATCTTTGACTGACAGGTAGATTGCTGAGCAGTAAAAGTACTTTTCTCCTCCCTGCACAGGTCACCTACAATGTCTGATTCATGGGTGGCAGAAGGTACCTAGTGAAGCAGGATTTACAAAACTGTTTCAGTCACCCGACTCCTGTAGGAGATCCATGGAATGGGCAGGAGTTTCTAGGTAAAGCAGGAGCAGAAAGTCCCTCCCTATCTAATGAATTAACTTTTGAGAGATGGATAAATTACTAGTCATTTCTTAAAAGTCATACTTACCCCTGCCCCAACCCCTATTAGGGAGAGCAAATGATGAATGTTTCTCTATCTTAACTTCCTCTCCTACCCTGAATATTGATCCATCATACATCCTATTACTCATGGTCAAACTCAGAATCTGAAATACTGTAGCATTGCAAAAGCAATGGTCAGAGTACTTGAGTAATTTTTGTGCAATAAAAAATCCCTGCAACTTGGTCATGAATTGGTAGTGACTCTGTATGTGTCAGAACTAAATCATTAAGGTTGTATAACCACCATCACCACCACAGCACATACTATGTGTTTCCAACTGATAAATCACAGTGTACAAGGAGAACATTGGAAGGGTCCTTCCACCTTCGTTCAAAAACTCTGCAAAATTTGTATGTTGGTATTCAACGGTGTCATTGTTTAAGGGTAGTTCTGCAGTTTCCTTCTCAATTATCTCTTCTGACTGTGAGAGTGCTGTTCCCACTTCAGGCTCCTTCTGCGTTGCAAAGCCTTTGCCATTTATAGAAAAAGGACTGGCACGTTCTTTTCCGTTACTAAGCAACTCAAGCAAGAGTCACAATTGTTAGGTTTGTTTAGGGATTGGAATGCCAGGCGGATGGATGGATGGATGGGTACCTCTTTTTCACATCCCCCTTGCTGACAAAAAGTTTCTTTTTACCCTGAGTGCAAGCAGAGACAGGGGCCATTTCGAGACTGAAAGCAAAGTCTCCATAGCAATTCCATGTTTCCTCTCAGGGTTTGGAATTTGGGGATGTGGAAATCAGGGGCCTTTCAGATTCAGCTCCTAGTAGCACAACCACATGGCCATTGTAAAAGATGAACTGTACTTTCCGTGTCTCAGGAACATAAGTTTCCTAATCCTTTTATAAATTATTGTATTTAAAATAATCATATAGTCTTTCCAAGCAAACACACTTCAAAGCACAAAAAACAGTGAAAGTAATAAAAAATAAAACCTGCATACATTAAAACAATATTTAAACAATCCATGTTCAGTAAAAAGGGAGTTGAAGGCCAGGGCAAGAAAACAAAATCAAACCATTCATCCCACATTATGATTTACCAGCTCTGTAACAGCAAAGGCAGTTTCTTCCATATCCTGATCCAAAATTGCTAGGGTCTGATCACTGAAAGCAAAATCTTGAGGCTGGCTTGGTAGCTAATTAGCAGCTGCTTTAGGCATGGTTTAATATGTGCACCACAACCAGGTTGTCATATCCTCTACAATTAAGGGTGGGCTACAGAGACCACTTGAAGAAATTAAATATGGAGTTATCAGTATGTTGATAATACTGGGACTCAAGAAAGACATTAAGTTTAGGTAAATGTAGCCCTTCAACAACAAGGTAGTGACTTAACATGGTGGTTCTATTTGCAAATTCAAACAAGATATGAAAAAGACATAAAAAATAATGGGATTTTACAAAGAGCTGACTCCACTTGATAAAATACTTTTAAAAACATTTGATTAAGAAACTTTATAAATACTTATTAAATTGGAAGATGGAAGAAGAACAAGTAAAAGAGACAATGATAGTATGGGCAAAGAACTTGGGATATTCTATAGAACTAGAAGACTGGCAAAAACTGGGATAAAAATATCAAACTTACTAAAGCAGTAACATATAAAGAAAATTTATATAAAATGTTTTATAGATGGTATATGACACCAGTCTGCTTAGTGAAAATGTTTAAAAATTTATTGGATACATGTTGGAAATGTAAGCAAAAAACAGGTACTTATTATCATGCCTGGTGGACATGTTCTATTGCAAAAAAATATTGGTCTAAGATTCATAGATGGTTAGAAAAGATGATGAAAATCCAGATAGAATTTAAACCAGAACTGTTCCTGTTAGTTATATTAAGACCTAATTATGGCAAAGAAAATGATTATTTAATATTATATGTATTAACAGCTGCAAGAATAGTATTCGCCCAATTTTGGAAAAATGAAAACCTACCATCAGACAGATTATAATTTTGAAAATCCTAGATTGTGCAGAAATGGACAGATTAACGTTAGAGATGAAGGAGAAAGAAAATTCAATCTTCTATAAAACCTGGGGAAAATTTTATTAGTGGGTTGAAACACGTTAGAATAAGAAGAGATTTTAGAGTTTTATTATATTAAGTATTAAGCCTGATGATTGGAAATAGTTGTTATGCTATCAATTATGTTAATTATTTAAAGGAATATTACTGTTTAAATGTCTAGTATTATAAACAATAATACTCAATATGAAGACCCGGACGACAGCTTGTTCGCTGAATTACATATTTACTGTAGTTATCCATACCCTGTCCCCTTTATCCCGATTTCCCTGTATCCGCACCGACCCCACCTTTTCTTTACTCATAAAAAATCCAATAAAATATATTTTAAAAAAAAGTTTAGGTAAATATAGAGAAATCTGTTCTCCTGAAATTCAGGAATAGATTCAAGATATACTGTATGTTGTCAATTTTTGAAATGTCAGCATGTTCTAAAAATGTGACAACCGAGCAATATGTTTCTATGTGGCCTAGATTTAATTATAAAATGTAACTGACTATACTAATACTACACAGATCTTTCCCCCCCTTAGTTTATTTTTCTTCTTTTATCTTTAGTCCCTGTGATTTATGTAGGTTCTTTTTCTGTTTTTGAGGCACAATCGCTTTTATATCTTTTTGTAGTTGTTATGTATTTGTTATGATGAAACTTAATTGTAACTGATTTAAAAAGCTTGGCCCCTTCTGGAGCGCCCACATAAACTTTCCCAGTGAGCAACAACTACATGGAAAGCTTAGTGTTGTGGAAAAAAACAAAATGGAGCACCAGCAGGTTACAGTTGGATAGTCTGTGGGTGACGAGAGTTGAAATGAATCTACTGCATGACTGTATTTAATCTCTGTTCTTCTTTTGCAGCCCTTGGTAAATGTGCAAGAACTAGATCCATCCTTATTTCCTTTCTCAAGGTCCCCTTGATGTTTGCCTTTTTATACCTGTTTGTGTGCTCCCTTGATGTGCTGAGCTCTGCTTTCCAGCTGGCAGGAGGTGAGGTCACCCTGATACTTGCCTGCCTCCTCTCCACCCACCCTCCAGCCCAGCCCAGCCCTTCCTCCCTAATGATGAAAGTGCTACATGTTCTTCTGTGAGGCGTTCCACCTCCTGTCTGTCTCTCTGCTGCTGGTGTGGGTGCGACTGGAGTTGGGCTGTGAAGAAAGAGGCTAAGAACAACACTGGAACATCACGGCACAGCTTTGTGGTAGTGGGAAAAAATGCATGGAGTGAGAAAGATGGAAGTTAGGAGGAGTATAACTGTTGTAAGGAAGTGTCCTTGGTAAAAGAAGATAAAGACAAGATTCATTTAGGGAATAACAAAGTGATAGGAAAACTTTTGTTATTTAAGTCCAGCTACAGTTTAGACCAGGGGTAGGCAACCTGGGCTCTTTTATGACTTGTGGACTTCAACTCCCAGAATTCCTGAGCCAGCCATGCTGAGGGGAAAGGGAGAGTTTCCAAGCTGAGCCATACTGGCTCAGGAATTCTGGGAGCTGAAATCCACGAGTCATAAAAGAGCCAAGGTTGCCTTCGCCTGGTCTAGAACCTTAGCATAGTGCCCTCCATTGTGGAAACAAAGCCAGTCAGTCAGGGAAGTGCTGTTGTTGCTCAGATCTGGGTCAGAAGATGAACAGAGCTGAACTGAGAGTAGAAGGAATGGTTGAAAGCCCTGGGAGTGTGAGTAGGAAGCATGTTATCATGCAAAATAAGTCTTTTAGACAAAAAAAAGATCAAAGTGCAGAAGATACCTTAGTTAATTATTTCCACATCAATTGCCCCAGGGGTCAGTAAGTTTATTAGGGCAGAAAGCTGGTGTGCATAAAGTTGAATTTCCATAACTTTACTAAAGATTCTTGAGACTGACCCCCTTCCCTTCCTTCCAGATGTTTTTCTATACCTAATGAGAAGTCCATAATCTCTTTTCCAAAATGGTAAATTTTGTTCACCAAAGGAAAATGTCATTTCTGATTAGCAAGCACTTTGAGGCAATCCTCATTGGTTTAGCTCTATCACATGTCAACTACAGTATATTGCAATAATTCTACCATATTTGCCTGATGTGTCTTCTCTTTCTCTTCTCCTCTCCTCAAACTTTCAGGATCTCTTTTTTAACTAGAATTTCAGTTAGGCACAATAGAATTAATACAATATAAGAAATCTGGGTTTGCTTTTGGTATTATTAGTACTGCTCACAATTCTTATATAGAAAAGCTGACTTCGTGTTTTCTTTATTTTAGCAACCAGACTAAGAAAGGAGAATTTTCTAATGATTTTATGTGTAGATTTCCTGTATTTTCCCCCATCCCATTTCCAGAAAGAGCTCATTCTAAACCAGTGGTTCTCAACCTGTGGGTCGGGACCCCATTTGGGGTCGAACGACCATTTCACGGGGGTCGCCAAACAATGCAGTCCGCCATTTCCCCCCCTTTTCCTTAGCTGTGCTATTCCCTTTTATTCTATTGGCTTTTGAAAGCCAATAGAATAGACTCTCTTGAATGGAGTCTAATTCTATTGATTTTCAAAAGCCAATAGGAATTGTCCAGGCTGTCTCTGCCCTGCTGAGCCCGCCAAAAGTCCCATTCTGCAAACGGTGCTGCACCAGTTGAGTAGACCTCGACTTACGACCGGTTGAGTAGTCCTTGACTTACGACCGGTGGGGGGTCGCGGCATTAAAAAGGTTGAGAACCACTGTTTTAAACCTCTTAACTGGGGAAATAATGCATAAGCTATATGTTCAGCATTAATTAACAGACTCTAAATAAAAGTTGCTTTAGGAGCAAGCTGGACTAGAAACTTGATGCCCTATATTCAGATCTGCTTTGCTACTCTCTGGGTTTTTTTTTTCAGGTAAAGTAGCTGGAGATATTTTCAAGGACAATGCTATCCTCTCTAACCCAGTGGCAGGGCTTGTGGTAGGAGTCCTTGTTACTGTCCTTGTACAAAGTTCCAGCACCTCCAGCTCCATCATTGTGAGCATGGTTTCCTCAGGATGTGAGTAACATCGATGAACTAAAATCAGACTGAAGAGAAGGTATATACCATCCACGGCAACTTCAAGCCAGAGTTCTCACCAGGTGCTCTTTACCCTTTGCTCTCTAGTGCTGGAGGTAGGTTCAGCCATCCCCATCATCATGGGCTCCAATATAGGGACCTCAGTCACCAACACCATTGTGGCACTTATGCAAGCTGGCGACAGAAATGAATTTAAGAGGCAAGTATTATTGTGTGTGGGGGGGGGAGATGGAGACCGAGAATGTAACCGGTTTCTGCCCTGGAAAGAAGGCTGGTTATGTGGCTGGCAGAACTGGATGAAGACAGGAGCAGATTGGCAGAAGGAGAAAGTGTTCATCAACCATAGGAGGATGCCAGTAGGTTGTGAGGGTACTGGGGCTACAAACCTAAGACAGGAGTAATGAAGAATAGGCATACGTTAAACCAGGAGTAATTGGTAATTCAGGTAAACACAACAAATAGGCAGAAGTGGGTCTCAGAGACACTTCAGCAATACAGGTGATTTGGGTGGATGCTCAGGTAGGACCCATCCATATACCCCATGACACAATTCCGATATTTCACAACAGCAAAAGCTTCTCTTCGTTGTCTAACAGGGCCTTTGCAGGGGCCACCGTGCATGACTGCTTCAATTGGTTGTCAGTACTGATTCTGCTGCCTCTGGAAGTGGCCAGTGGCTATCTGCACCACATCACCAAAGTTTCCGTGGCAACTCTCAACCTGCGCAGTGGACGGGATGCTCCAGAGCTCCTGAAAGTAATCACGGAGCCCTTCACTGGCCTTATTGTCCAGGTGTGTGTGTGTGTGTGTGCCAACTAGAGGATTATGACACTGAAGATCTGGAGGGTACCAGATTAGGAAAGGCTAATCTAAACACAACTGCACCCTCTTGGTCTTTCTCCTGGGAACTCCTTCTCTGTTTTCTATACAAGCGGCCCTCAATTTATAACCATTTCTTTAATGACAGTTCGAAGTTACAACAGCACTGAAAAAGCGACTTACAATCAATCCCCCTGGTCACATGATCAAAATTCAGGCACTTGGCAACCAACATGTGTATTTACAATGATTGCAGCATCCTGAGGTCAAGGGATGGCCATTTGCAACCTTCCCAATTGGCTTCCAACAAGCAAAGTCAATGGGGAAGCTGGTTTCACTTAATATTGCATGATTCACTTAACAATTGCAGTGATTCACTTCACGACAGTGGCAAAAAGGTCACAAAAACAGGCATGACTCATTTAACTACCACCTTGCTTAGCAATGGGAAGTTGAAGACCACCTGTACATTAGCCTTGGGAGGCAGGGATGAGAGACAGGTATCTTCCACTCTTGCCACACTTTAAGGACTTTTCTTGTTCCCTTCAGCTGGATAAGTCAGTGATCACAGGGATTGCCACAGGCAATGAAAGTTTGCACAACAAAAGTCTGATTCGGATGTGGTGTGAAGCGCCAGCTCCACAGGTGAGACTTGTGCCAAAGGAAAGAAAGGATAGAAGGGGGAGGGATGTAAGAGAAAACAGCGGATATCATTCAGAAGATGTTCAAATCTCTGTTCTATAAGGATGCCACCACTGAGAAGGTTTTTCTCTGATTGACCCATTCTATATACCTCATTTGGTGGAACCTCTAAAGCAGTGGTTCTCAACCTGTGGGTCGGGACTCCATTTGGGGTCGAACGACCATTTCACGGGGGTCGCCAAACAAGGCTGTCCGCCATTTTTTCCCCTTTTCTTTGGCCACGCCCCTGGCACCCGGTGATGTATAAGTGGTTGGGGGTCACCACAACATGGGGTATTATGGGGTCGCGGCATTAGAAAGGTTGAGAACCACTGCTCTAAAGGTAACCTTGTCCTAATCCTACTCTTAGTTCTAGCCCTAATCTGAGACCTAGTAGTTGTATAGCCAATATAGTGTTATAGGTAATCTTTCAGGTATCCTAGGTATGGAGGAAAGACAATTGCTTTGGGCACTTTCAGTTCATTGTCTTTAAAATCGTGCCTCTCTATAGATACGCACAAATGGAAAACATCTTGAAATGCGGTTCAGCCACCAAAGAATTCAGTTTGCTTTTTCTCCTAATAGACTATATTAATTTTCACTTATGCTAGTTCAGATTTTTTTTTTCATTTGATCCAGAAACTAAATGGGTGGTTATGCCATGATGAAAGGATATAGATTTAAAAAGAAAGACATTCATGGTTATTTATAGTTATGCACTTCTGTTATGGGGGAACAAAGCTTACAGCACTTCTGAATGAGGATTGTGCACACATTTCAAAGCACCATGGCATCATCTGAGCCAATCTATTTTCAGCTCAGCTGTGTTGTAACCCAAACTGTAAAAACGTTTTTCTTTCATTTTACAATAGTGAAGTTTTCTGGAGAACGTTGATGGTCTGTTTCCCCACCGGGGGCGGGGGGGGGGAACTCTTGCCAGCTTCCTCTGGCTCCAAAGCATCAGCCCCCCAGCAGTCCTTTCTGATCCTGCCCAGATCTCAAGCTCAAATTGCTATGGCAAATGGCTCACTAGGAGTAGGTCCTTGGACAAAGGGCTGCTGTGCTGAAATGTTTATATACATTGATCCAAAAATCTCTAATGAGTCAAACACGAATATCATGAATATCATGGCATGTTATTAAACATATAATTTATCACACACACACATATGTGTGTGTGTGTATGTATGTATATATGTATACTCACAGAGAGAGAGTGTGAAACAGAGAGCAATGAAATTAGTTACAATACTCCAATGTCCTTTTGGTCACATAGGTGCCAGTAGTTTTCATTAAATAGTATACCAATATTTGGTGTTATTCCTGGGTTGATATGTTCCCCCCCCCTCCAAGAATGTATCTGGGACCAGAGAATCCTGGAAACCCCTACCAGAACTTCCCAAATACCCCTATGCGTTTTCTGGTGCCTCCTTGCTGAAGAGAGATCATTGACCCTATTCTTGTTCATGTTCCTCCTCTCCTCTCCTCTCCTCTCCTCTCCTCTCCTCTCCTCTCCTCTCCTCTCCTCTCCTCTCCTCTCCTCTCCGCTCCTCTATTTTTCCTGTCTGGTAGAGTCCTGCTGCCTTTCTAGCAGAGAAATCTTCCTTGTATCCTTGCTTGCTTATTTGCTCCTAGTCTTTCTTGGGAATGAGCCAGTCCTGGCAGAAAGTCCCTCATTGTGGGATGATCAGGCTTAGTATTCATCCTTCCTCTCCTTAGACAGTTCCAGCACCTTGGCTAGATCTTGCCTTCCTACTGCTCTGCCCAGAAAGCCCAGTGTCATCCAGTACCCAGTTCCCAGAGACTCTTGCTAATTGTCATGAGAATCCTTGGGCACTAATTATGGTAAACCAGCTGCCCAAGCCCCCCCCCCCCGTTGTTAGGAGGTTATCAGAGTGAACCAAAGTGAACTGTGAGGCTTTGCTATAGGTTTTTATGAGGAACTCAGTGCTCCTCTTTTGCCAGCAGCATCAGAGCTCACAGAGTATCACTGTAGACTGCCTTACATGGCTTGGGTAAGATTGAAGCCCCTGTATTAAGAGGGATTCAGACTTGATTCAGCACAAATAAAATTCTGCAAGGGCAATGGCCATACAAAGGGCCAGGCTGCTTGGGGGATTCTTTCTTTCTTTCTTTCTTTCTTTCTTTCTTTCTTTCTTTCTTTCTTTCTTTCTTTCTTTCTTTCTTTCTTTCTTTCTTTCTTTCTTTCTTTTTTTCACTTACTTACTTACTTACTTACTTACTTACTTACTTACTTACTTACTTACTTACTTACTTTTTCTTTCTTTCAAGGGGACACTGGTGGAGAAGTGTCCTTTCAATGGGTTCTAGTTCTTCCAGCCCAAAAAGGATTCATTTTACTTAGATCACTGTCACTTGGTTAAAAATGCTGGAAAAACCATCTGATTGTAGAATAGAAAGTGACTTCACGTCACTCTCATAATTCTTGTGGGATTTTTAATACAGAATGCTGGTGTTGTAGGCAGTTACTTTCTATTTAAGTTACAAATGCTCAGAATATTTGGGAAATGACCAAATGTGTATAGTACGGCATATTCTGATGTTTGTGATTTTTTTTATCTCTTTTTTGTCTGGAGTGAGGCAGGGTCATTTTCTGTTGCTGTTCCAGATGGAACAATAGCTGAGGAGTGGAAGGGACTGAATTATGTTTTCATTATATTTCTATTAGTCTACTGGAAGGACAATATAGATTGGTGTATTGTGTTTTCTGCATTTGGAGGCCTATAGGAAAGGAAAGGATCTGCTTCACCCTGCTTTGGGAGAGATTTGGAGAGGAGGAATGGTATCTTTGGGAAGCACCCATTAAACCACAAAATAGAAGTGTGACCTTGCTGCCTGCAAATTTCTTCACGGTCAAAAGTGGCATAGGGCAGTTGTTGCCAAACAGGTGCTTAGTTTTAAACTGCATGCACAATACACAGCAGAGCGCTGCTTGCTTGGAACATGTGTAACTTTGGGAGTGCAGTCATTGCAAAAGTATTTTGGGAAAAATGAAGCTCAAGGAAGGAAGCAGCAGAACAAGAGGTTGGAAAATGTATTTTTTCCTAAGGGAATTAAACTGATGTCACTATCCTGGAACTAATGCTAAATGAGTGCTGATGGATGAAATATGAAGAGTGTTATGGAGGCTAATTGGTGTTAGAATTAACATTTTAGCAATATTTTGCCTGCAAGGAACATTTTTGAATGAACAAAAGGAATGAGATGGAAAATTTGACCAGCCACATGTAGTAACGGCATTAGAATAAGACTGTTTTTGACTAGGAATGGGCGGGGGGGGGGTTCCTCACTCATCTCCCTAGAATTCCTACCATATGTTAGGATGACCCTCTTTTTTTATAGGTTTCTTCAGCAGGCACAAGAGGAATATCCCTAAACTGCAGCTCCCTTATACCAAACAGTCTGGAAAGTGCTGGAAACTTCAGCAGTGTCATGACACAGAAATGTAAGCACCAGCAACTTCATACAACAAAACTCTGAAAGGAATGACTATAGCCACAGATGCCCCATTCTTCCTGTCAGGCCACAAAAGTAGAAGAGGGGGGAATAAGGCAGGGCTCTTGCACTGACCACTGCTCCTTTGACCAGGCAATCACCTGTTTGTGGACTCCTCTCTGCCAGACTTGGCTGTGGGACTCATGTTGCTGGCTGGATCCCTGACTGTACTGTGCACCTGTCTTATGATGTTAGTCAAACTGTTGAACTCTGTGCTCAAAGGCCAGGTGGCCAGCGCTATCCAGAAGGTCATTAACACAGGTAGGCTCATAGACTGGTTCTGTCCCACTAGACTGGAGATTTCTTGGGTCAAAAAGTTTAGATGTCATGCCTCTTGTAGTAGAGTCTAACTGTGTGAATCTTCATCTCTCCTTGCTGTTTCTGACATTACACTGGTTTGGGCAGATCTTCCATCACCTTTTGGATGGGCCACCGGTTACTTTGCCATGCTTGTTGGTGCTGGGATGACGTTTGTTATGCAAAGTAGCTCTGTCTTCACTTCAGCAATTACCCCTCTCATAGGTAAGTCCCCTATATCTTCCCTTCCCCCCAAATCCCAGTAGCAAGTTCAAGGTGGAGAGACTGTGTTGTACAAAAGAAACTCAGGATGAGATTTACTGTAGATTTTTAGCCCCATGCAAGAGGAGAAGAGAAACATCCATCTGCTAACCATGTTTCTTAGCTGCATCTGTCTCATTCCCCATGGCAGGAGAAAGTCAGCCTGGGGTTTAAGGGTGTAGCTGCTCTGGAATATATGGAATAAATAAGCAAGATGTTACTATCACACTTAAATGGGATATAATGATGTGATGATGATTTGAAGCATACTGTAGCTATCTCAGAAATGCTGAGATACAAGATGCTGTGTCTATATTCACATAACATATTTAGCAGATGCATGAGCAACAACCTTGTTAAGTAATCAGTTTGGTGGTTTTTCATGGCTTAATGTGAGTGCAAGTCCATCTTGCTTGGACTGTGTTTCAGAATATACCTCATAGAAACATGGAAGGAATAGCTCATATTAGTCTAATCTTCTCCTTAGTATGGGATGCAAAGCCAGATAGTTTATTCAGTAACCTGGTTAAATGAGTTGACTGAACAGGGACAGTGAGTAATTGGACTCATCTTCAGGAAGCCTGCTTTTGTGGAATAAGGACGGCTCCTTTAGCACTGCTTTTAGTGTGTATTGTGGGGAAGAAAGTTGTTGTTTTCTGACCAGCTACTCTTTTCTTTTGTGGGACAGGTCTTGGGGTGATCAGCTTAGAACGTGCGTATCCCCTCACCCTGGGTTCTAACATTGGAACTACAACCACGGCTATCCTAGCAGCCCTGGCCAGTCCAGGGGATAAATTGGCCAGTGCCTTGCAGGTGAGGAGATGCCCTCTTTCTATTCTGTTGAACTAGAGATGATGGCTTAGGACAATACATTTCCCAGCCTAAGGATTTCTTTACATGCCCCTAAGCACTGCTGTTCCCACCCTCTACCAAAAAAAGCCAGGAAGGAAACAGCAATGGTAAAGCAGAGAGGCACAAGCAAGAATCAGACGTGAAAGGGATACTAGGTTCCTTTCCCTGCTCTCCCCCGAAACCCAGTGCGTGGTATGCATTTCTTCCCAATGTTGCACCCCAGAGAACTGCTGTGCTTCTGGTTTCCCTTCTCAGATTGCTCTCTGCCACTTCTTCTTCAACATCTCTGGGATTTTGCTGTGGTATCCCCTGCCTTGTACTCGCCTCCCAATCCGCATGGCTGAAGCAGTAGGTGAGCAGACAGCCAAGTATCGCTGGTTTGCCGTCTTCTATCTGATTATCTGCTTCCTCTTGTTGCCGTCGCTGGTTTTCGGGCTCTCTGTGGCAGGATGGCAGGTGCTGGTAGGCGTGGGAGCTCCATTCCTGATTCTTCTAGCTTGTGTGGCCATTATCAACATCATGCAGGCACAGAGCCCTGACCGGCTGCCCAGGTGGCTTCAGAATTGGGACTTCTTGCCATACTGGCTTCACTCTTTGGAGCCCTTGGATGGGCTAATGACCCGAGCCACAGTGTGTTGTGCTGCTCATTGTTCGGGTAGCCAAGAGGAATGTAAAAAGAAATCGCCAGGAGTTCATGTCAGAAGAGGCTTGCCGAAGCCTTCTGTTGTCTTCTTAGAGGAATGGTCCCCGCCACCAAGACTCTCACCCCAGCTGAACATCCTGCCAGTGCAGCATGCTAGCCGCCTGTGATTTGTGCTAGAACACAGCTCTGTTGCGGCCTGCGGACAGTGGTGCTCAGCAGACAAGCAATAATATAAAGAAAAAACACGACAAGAAATGGCATCAATGCAAATACTGGAGTTTGTGCTGATGGCTGCCCTCATCACTGCAGCTCTGTCATTGCCACGTGTGTATGTCAGCCAATATAGGTTTATGTCTCATTGGGCAGAGCTTTTCATAGGAAATACGCCTATAACTAGCATTTGATAATCACTGTGCATATCGTTTTGTTATGAACATCAAAGAACGAATGCAAAATCATCAGCGTAGGGACTACTTACATACAATGCAGGAGAGGTTATAGTGCTTATAATGTAACAGAACCCCCAGTGGTGGGATTCAGTCAGTTCGCACCAGTTCAGCAGAACCGGTAGCTAATTTTTTGTTGTCCAGGCCCAGAATGGACTTCCAGAAACAGCATCCACACAGAGAACCGGTTATTCACATATTTGAATCCCACCATTGAGAACCCCCATTCTCGATTGCCCGTAGCATCTATGTAACAGGAGTTCCATATATTCAGTAGTTATTTTGTAGCAGAACTGTAGGTCTCCCTGAGTAGTGTTGTCTCAATGTACAACACATTTGCAGAATTACACATAAGGGTGCTTAGAAGATTTTTTCCTTTTAACTTGACAAACAGATCCTCACATCATCTCAAAATCATATATGTGCTAATTGAAACTGATGAGAATTGGAAGCAAAAACCATCTAAAGGTTGTTTGAGCCTGTACTCCATTTTATAGTATTGTCTTAATAGATGCAGACCATCAGATTCTTTATGAGCAAGAAAGTAATATATAGTAATAGTCCCTATACAGTAATAATTTTGGAATAGCTAAGAAACAGATGCTACATTTGCACTGCTTATATTTCTGCTAGGAGGTAGTTATAAATCACTTCAATTTGGGTTCCAGAAAAATTATAGAAATAGAACTGGGGAGACATTTGTTTCTGTAGTTTTTACTATATAATTATTCTTATAATTTTCATTATTTCAGTGAAAATCCAGATTGTGAAGGATTTGATGTGTATTATTTATAAAATCTGATACAATATTCTTTTGGCTGCTGCTGAATCTCAGCTGAGTTGAACCAATACTATGATGCAATCAGCAACTAGCAGTCTAAAATCGGAGCCATTTCCTTTGATTTTTAAGTTTTTAAGATTAGAAAATCCTATGTTAACAGAGAATCTGATCACATAAGAAAATGCTTTGGAGGAGAGGGAGTAAATCTACCCCGTTAGCAGAATCTGAATTCTGTAGTTTGGTGCAGACCCTGAACATGGTTTGAATTAGGAGTGCAGCCACCACTTTGGATGTTTTGCTTGCTGTTTATTTTTTTTTAAATTGCAAGCAGTAGCAACTTTCTAATCTTCCCTGAATCTCCTCCATATCTCATGTTCACATATATTTTATGATTATGTCACCAGAATGTGCACTGTGTCACTTCTGCCTTTGCATTAGCACACAATCCCAGGACACCTTGTGTTTCTGCTTCTGTCAAGTTTGAATTTGCAGAGTTTCTTTCAGGCTTGTGTCCCCCGTTGCATAATTTGAGCATCCAGATGTGTTTCTAAGTCACTACTTCAAAAATAAAATTCACTGATAAATCTGTTTTTTAAGTGAACTAGAATATTACAGTATATAATTTTCTACTTCTTGAATGATGAGGTCCCAGGAATAGCATTACTTTTTTGGAGAAGGAAGTACACTGGACTTTTATGGGCCAATTCAGGCATAAATAGAAATCATTTGTTACTCAGTATATTTATACAGTGCAGTGTTTGATTTCCAAACTTCTCTTTCTTTTTTACCTGATGAGAAGATCAAGCTTTTCTTCCTGGTTAACCACAATTCTTAGACATCCCAACTCAAGAAACTGACATTTGTTTATACCATGCAATGCTTGTGGATGGTATTGTGCTCACCCAGCCATATTGTGCAACTCATTCCACAATTTACAGGTAGTTCTCAACTTAAGACCACAACTGAGTCCAACATTTCTGTTGCTAAGCAAGACAGTTGTTAAGTAGGTTTTGCCTCATTTTATGACCTTTCTTGCCATGGTCGTTAAGCAACTCTGGTTTCCCCATTGACTTTGCATGTCAGAAGGGTGCAAAAAGTGATCACATGACCCTGGGACACTGCAACCATCGTAAATACATGCTGGTTGCCAAGCATTTGAATTTTGATCACGTGACCCTGGGGATGCTCCAATGGTGGCAAGTGTGAAAAATGATCATGTCACTTTTTTCAGTGCCTCAAATGGTCACTAAACAAATTGTTGCAAGTCAAGGACTACCTGTATTGTTGTACAAGTGACTGGAATGATATCATTTTGAAAAAAATGCCTCCAAAGGCAAAATCCTACCCCATGTAATTGGGCAGCAGAATCTTTGATAGTGTCTTTTCATTAAGAAGTTATTCCCACCAGTATTCAAATATACAGAGGTGTTTTATTCCAATAAGTGAACTTAAGGAGGAATACATTTCCAAATCCACACCTTAGACAGTCTTGTGAATTGCTTGTAGGTTTCTTCTGAGCAAATCTGGTATTTAATATAGCATGAGAATAATTCCCTGAGATACTTTATTTGCATTGCTAATGCCCAGCTTGGATTTGAGAAAGAAACTGCATTGCTATAAATGGTTCCTAAAGACCCTTGGCAAACAATTTCTTTAAAAAGATTCAGCCACCCACTCCTAGGCGAACTATATTTTAAAATTCAACCTACTCCTTTATTTGGCAGTTAACACTATTTCTGTAACACTTTAGCCAGCCTGTTTTGGAAGTGAGGCTGGTGCACGGACAACTCTGGCCACTGGGTGGCAATGTGGGATAACGGGAATCTGAATTACAGTCCTGGGAGAGCCAGCCAAGGGGCGGAAGCTGAGGGCCAGAGGGATCCGCCAAAGAATTTGGGTGATGGGCCTCTAAACTTGCCAGTGAGGAGGCAAAGGTGGGTTTGGGGCTGTGTGTAAGAACCCTGCTGAAGAAAAACAAGATGAAAAGAACCAAGGGAATAATTGATCTATTTCAAACCCTGCTAATTTGAGGTGGTGGTTGCCCCCCAAAGCCTTTAAAATACAGCCTTCAGTTGAGGAACTTGATGGATTAATGAAGATGATTCCTCTAAGCATGGGCAGAAGTACTTGTTTAAAGTCTGGGCAATCACAGCTACAGAATCCAGGAGGGTTTCTTCCTCACAAAATCTACCATCTTTTTCCTCCTTTATTCCCCCCCCCCCACTAGAAGCATAATGAAGTCTCCTTCAAGTTCAGCCAGTGTACATGCTTTGGGAGGGCAATAGCATGGTTGTGGCTTGCCATTACTATCTTCCTGGAAGTCTTTATTTACTTCTCAAAGGAGCCTCTCTGGAGGGCTCCCCTCCAAATCCTAATTGGACCTAGCTGTGCTTAGCTTCTGACCCCAAAGTTGGCCAGCACTGCCAACTTCCAGAGACAACACCTTCTCTACGACTACAACTCCTACGATCCTCAACCAATGTGTATACTTTCTGGCTTTCCTTCCAGATGGATGTGGGCTTCTAACAGATTGAAAGAGAAAGACAATACTCAGAAGTTAATGCTTGTTTCTGTAATTAAGCCAATAACATATTTCTGTTCCAGAAGAAAGTTTTATTGGTAAGGAGAAACATTAGAAAACAAAGATCTCAATTTTTTCCCCCTCCCTGGCTGGACAAACCAGGATTGCAGATCCCAATACATTTTCTTAGAAGGGCTTTATGTTGAGATCAGTGATCTGCACAGTGATAATTTCAAAACTAGTTTGAAATGGGCGACTGAGACAGCCGGGCACAGTCCTTCCCCTCTTTGTTGCCAGTTTGCACTTACCAGGTGGGGCAATAGTAAGCAACCCAGGGAGACTCTCCGAAGCTCATTAACATTAGTAGCAAACAGCCTCTCCCACCACCAGCCAAATCTGGCTGGGTGCCTGCAGGCCGTACTCTGTCAGCCCCTCCCTTCCCTCCTCTACGGGGAGAGCAAAGACCAGACTCAGAGAGACTCAAGCTGGAACAGCCCAGCTGAACTTCACATCATTTCAGCAAAAAAGAAGTATCCAAGAAGACCGGAGTTTTCTGTCTGCCCACCAATATTGTCTTGGATATTCCCAATAACTCAATCTGGAAAGGTCGCAGCAACTGGTGACAATAGCTGGAAACTATCAGATCTGCCGCCTGTCCCAAAATATTCTGGAATCCAAACGGCCTCTCCAGGATTCATCTTACTGCTCAAGGTCCATCATGCCTCCTTGAAGACCCTGATTCTGCTTTAACATCCAACGTGACAGCCTGGATTCGGCAGTGCCGCTGCAGGTTTGTGCTGTTGCCTCCTAGCTTAGAATGGTGCCTATCGAGAAGAAGGTTGGTGGCAGTGCCATCGTTTTCTGCAGCTATCCTGACAATACAACTTGCCCTGCCTGAGCAAGACTTGGGAGCCGGTGAACCTTGCACAGGCAGTCAGGGTATGGCCTGGTCTGGGGGTGAATGGGATGGAGTCACAGCAAAATGGATCTAGCAATCAGAGTGAGCAGGGACCCACCATCTTTCCATACTCGCCTCTGGCCACAACTCTCATCCTTGTGGCAGGACTGACTGTGGCTCTTGTGACATTCATAGGGAATGTGCTGGTTGTATTAGCTGTGTACACTAGCCGTGCCCTTCGGGCCCCACAGAATCTCTTCCTGGTGTCTATGGCTACAGCCGATATCCTTGTAGCCACCCTCATTATCCCATTTTCCTTGGCCAATGAGATCATGGGCTACTGGTGCTTTGGGGGTCTTTTTTGCAGTTTCTACTTGTCGCTGGATGTCCTGTTCTGTACCTCCTCCATCATGCATCTGTGTGCCATCAGCTTAGATCGCTACTGGGCAGTCACCCGAGCTGCCCGATATAATCTGAAAAGGAGCCCCCAGAGGGTCAAAGGTATGATTGGGGCTGTCTGGGCCATTGCCGCTGTTGTATCTCTGCCACCACTGTTTAAATCTAGACAGCAGGACCAGGTCTGCCTCCTGCATGATGATACCTGGTATGTTCTGGCCTCTTGCACTGCCTCCTTCTATGCCCCTTGCCTCATCATGGTTGCAGTCTATTGCCGGATTTATCATGTGGCCAAACACAGGAACTCCATGGTCACTGCAGCACGGCGGGTGTCCTATCCCAACTTCATCCCTGTGGCTAAGTACAATCCCTGCAGAGGGAGCACCCAGCCTCCTGGGGAAACACAGAAGATGGGAATGGAGTCCGGCCAGCTTCCTTGTCCCCAGCCTAGCTTGCCCCGGCTCTCTCGGCAATGGAGAGTAGATGATGGTGGCAACAGCGGTGCTCGGCCACCAAGGACTCCAAGGCTTTCTTGGTCACTTCCCTCCAATCTCCATCAGCGCAGAAGCAGGGACATGTCTCTCTCCACCAATCGGCTGATGCAGGCCCGGGAGCGCAGATTCACCTTTGTCCTTTCTTTCATTATTGGAGCTTTTGTCCTCTGTTGGTTCCCATTCTTCTTTACCTACAGCCTGGAATCTGTGCTTGGAGAAGGCTGCTGCATCTCCGAGCCTCTCTTCAAATTCTTCTTCTGGATTGGGTACTGCAACAGCAGCTTCAACCCCATCATCTACACGGTCTTTAACCGGGACTTTCGCAGAGCTTTCCAGCAACTCCTGTCTCCTGCCTACTCATTCATGTGCCGAAAATGAGGACTCTGCTAGAGGGTTGTTGGAACCTGGGAGAGGAATGATGGACAGGGGGCTGGCTACAGAACATCCCCTGGGATCACAGAGAAGGTAACCAGCGGAAGTTGGGGAGCTGAATATTTTTGCAGCTGCATTTTAATGAAGACTTCCCCATCCCAGACATGCATGTAACTTGAAGGGCAGAAGTGCCACAAGAAGCAAGATTTCTGTGACTTGTTGGCAGGTAGTTGGTTGCCAAGAGTCACTCTCACACTCCTGCCTGTTTCTCCAGCTTGTGGTTGCCTGATCTGTTGGTCAGCAAGCTAATTAACTGAGGTAGTGGGAGCAGAGGGTGGCTGAGGTAAAATTATTGATGTACTGTAAGGACTACTATAGCAGCTTTGACTCCCCATGCAGACTTGCTCCAAATTTTGACCGTTGCTGTAATAAACCTGCAAGTTTATGTTCTTGGTTTTGCTATCCCTAATCCTTGGTTTAGGGGTAGAAGTTATATTGAATCACCTCAGCAGTTGGGCTCCATCCTTAATCCTAAAAGGAAAGGTCTCCTCCAAAACCAGTTCTAAGTGAGAGAAGCTCTGGAAGGAATGTTCATTTATCCCAGATGCTCTGTGGGAAGAGGAAACAGAAACAGATTCTATTAAAGGGGATTTAGCGGGCTGACTATTTTGGTACTGGAACTAAAAATGTACAGCTGAGTGTTTCTGTCTCACATATATTGTCCCTTGTCAAGACAAGGGCAGTGGCATGTGGAGGAATTGGGGCCCTATTCAAGTCATAAGAAGATCCATCTAGTGGTCTAATACTCCATCAGAAATATTGGCCAGCTAGGGGTCTTGAAGGAAAAACCCGCAAACAGAATGTGATATACGGTAGTCACAATGATAATCTCATTGCATAATTGTAGCAAGAAGCATTCTTCCTCTGAATATTATTTCCTTGTTACTTTGGGTCTGAGCAGCTTGAGGTTTGACTGATGTCCTCCACAGAAAGAAAGAAGAGGGGAGGAGCAAAATCATGGACGTCCTAAGATAACTTTTCCCAGTCCCCAGAGCCTTCTCTACCACAGTTCTCATATACTCAAGCATTGGTCTCTCTCTGATTTTGAGAGTTGATGGGCTATCAAGATGAGAAGAACTTTCCCAAGGACAGTAAGGAACCGACTTATCCTAGGGAGGCCCTGGGATTGCAGAAAGATGGATGGACCAAGAAGGAGAGGGAGAATACCGGTATTTCCTGCAGAATCAGGAAATGGTGGTGTGAAGCTGCCGGTTTCAGTGTCCTTTGCCTAGCCTGCCTGCCAGTTCAGGCGAAGCGGAACTAAACAAGGGACATAACTGCAAAGCTTATTCAACCACCTGGTTTGAGGAAACATTACCCTGATCCTGCTTCTGGGCAGATGCCAGGCATGGGTTTTGGCAAAGAGGCTCCTGTCAATCATAGTATAGGTGTCTTCCATATTGCCTCCAGTAATTAAGTTTTTCCTGTTGTTCCAGTTTGCTGAGATTAGTTTCTCAGGCTGAAGCTGGTGTCACAGCCAAGCACCTGCCATCTCTGAGGCATTTTCTTCCCAACAATCAACTCTTTTTTATGTCTCATATGCTTAGCAGGGTAACTCATGCCATTGCCTTGAATCTCAACTGAGGCATATTACCTCATATTCCAACCTTAACTCTGTTGTCTTTAACAGGCATTCAGCAGATGATTTTCTTCCTGGTACTGTTAAGGGAGTGGGGTGGGGAGGGAAGCAAGGCAGGTTCTGTTTGACAGGAACTTAAATTAATGTTTTAGAGACTCTTTAAGGACAGAAAAAGAGGCAACCATTATAACCCAGGGCTGATTCCCAGAGTATACTTTTCAGTCACAGGCCTGCTCCTTTAATATGCTTCCCTGTGTGTAAAATGGCTTTTCTATTCATCTGTCCTTTGTGACTGGATAATAATCTGCAGACATGGCTTTAAACCCCCAATAGGCCTAAATTAAGATTACTGCCTTGTCCTATTGTGATAAATAATAGTTATCAATGAGGGTTATATTATGTGAAGTCTTTCTTCCTCTAAGCATTACTGATTATGTTGCTAAGGAGACCAATCAAACAATAAAACTACAAACAAGGCAAACATTTTTACTAGCTAATAGAGTGACATCTGGTAGCTCATTCTTCCCAGAAAACAGAGCAAACCAAGGATGGCGTAAATTAGGCAGGTATCCACGGAGATAGGCCCGTTTTTAGTACCATATTACTCACCCCAGTTCCAGACACCTAGAAGGGCAGCTGGTGTCTATTATCTCTCAGAGAGTTTGGGTAAACTATGTTCTCATGTACAGATTGACCACTGAGATAAACTGGAAGAAAAAAACAACCTGAAGGAAGGAATGCTTGTTTCTTCTAATATCTCAGTGAACCTGACAGAGTTACCTTTTCATTATAAAGCATATCATGCTTCAAATGCACTCCAGCATCCAGCCTGGAAACCTGCACTGCTTGCTTTTTTTTACCCAGAAGTAGATTAAAATGTTTCCACCTTTCACATTTCACTTTCATCTTCCTGGGATACATCTTCTGTATCAACAACCCCTTCCACTAATTCTACAGGGTTAAAACTTTGCACTCTTCCACAATGCTTTGTTTAGTCCTAATAAAGGGTTGGTCTAATTTTGGGGGTTTTGTTCTGTATTTTGGTGTTGTTTTTTTTAATGGAACAACTTTGGCATTTGATAAACATGATGGACAATCCTTTCAGGGCAGCCTGGGCAGGTCCAGAAAGCATCTTCGACAGAGTATTGCCCTACACTATGCTGGGATCAATGCAAGGAAGTAGAGGGATGAACTTGGAATCTTTAAAGGGTAGAAACTTGCATCCAGAACCACTGTGTGGTTGGTCAGTTTAGCAAATTTGTTTTTTTACAGACTGGCCTGTGCAACACTGAGGAGGGGGAAACAGCAGTGCTCCAGATAAACTCAACTGATTATCTCCTGCTACCACATCTTCTGTGAGATTGTGGATTCCTGGATTGTCTGTGCTCTATTTTCAACTGGATGGGGGTTGTTTATTTTTTTTTAATAGGCAAATTATACCTGCCTACATTCCATCATTTAAGTATAAATTAAGTGAAAAGGTTGCATTTCACGTGATTTCCATATGACCCTTGGGATTGTCCAGGATTTGGCCAAATATTAAATACCTGGATGATGCAGATTGGAGTAAATAAAATTCTATCCTAGGTAGCAGGATGGAGCTTGATTGGGTTGCACTAAAACATTTGTGGCAATGTATATCCATCCCTATTCTGCAATTTCCCTATGGAAGTATCAACTTGGGACAGAGAGTCCTGAGTTTGATAATTGGACAAAGATGGGAGATGGGGATCCAGCTTTTTGCAGTTTTAACGTTGGCTCCTAAGACTAATCATGCAGGTCATTTAATCATTTAAAAGATGAAATTTGGATGGCTGTATGTCAGGGAAAGGAAGATTTATTTTTCCTTTTCAGGTTTATTTATTTATTTATGAGACTTATACCGCTTTAAGTGCAAGCACTCTCTAAGCGGTGTACACCAGTAAGCAATGTGTGTATATATATATATATATATATATATATATATATATATACACATATACATATATATATATATATATATATATATATACATATATACATATACATATACATATACATATACATATATATATATATATATATATATATATATATATATATATATATATTTACATTGCCCCCAACAATCTGGGTCCTGATTTTACCTACCCCGGAAGGATGGAAGGCTGAGTCAACCCTGAGCCGGTGAGATTTGAACCGCTGACCTGCTGAACACAGTCAGCTGCAGTGGCCTGTAGTACTGCACTCTAACTGCTGCGCCACCTCGGTTCATTTCCTCTCTTATCTGTTGATGGGCTATTATCACTATAACCCTTTTTGTTTTATTTTCCACCAAATGGAAGACTAAGAAGTTAGAGGAAGATGGACTTATAGCTACTTTGTGCTGTTGGCATTAGTGCCGTTGGTGCTGTGTTTCGAGCAAAGCCCCTTTCCAGGAAGTTGCTGGTAAGGCAGCTGCTGGAAGGGCAGAAGGTGAGAGATGGTGAGTTGGCACACGGATGGCAAGAGGCAGCCCAGAATTCCTATGAAGGAAGACTTTGCAGCAAGGGTCCAATGACATGGGACTTCTCACTCAACATCTCCACCAGGGCAATGTAGCTGAGGTTGACAAGGCTGTGATGTACACGTGGAAAAATGGCAATGCAAAGGCCCATGAGAAGATTAAGTCTCCTCAAGAGGCAAGATGGAATGCGGTTTGGATCTGAAAAGAGCAGACCGGCCAGCTCTCTTGGCTCAGACATGCAGAGGCCAGAGGCTGAGTAATTTCCCCAGCTTTGGGGCTCAAAATAGAAAAACTTGAAACACTGACCCTCAACCTATCTAAAAACAGCTGTTGGCGCCAAGGGAGCTGGATTCCACAAGCCAGAGGGCCTAGCTCCAAACTCCAGCCCTCCCTTTAGTTTCCAAGCTTTGTGAGGTTGTATGTCCGAGCCGTTGGTCCTCAGAAGAAGATTGTGCTGAACAACCATCAGAGTGCAAGTTGGGTTGAGGCTGGGCTGCGTGATGGACTCTACTGTCTTTCAGTTGCGCATATCAGAGAGGAGCTCAGCCAACAAACCTTAGTGACATTTCTTCTATTTTAGAATATTCATACATATACATATCCTCAGACTGCATTTGTTCCACACTTTTAATGTGATCACTGAAATAACCAAATTTCCAGATTTATGTGAATTTACCCAAGGTGACCATTAACTAAGCTGAGTATATTTAGCAATGTTAAATGATTTCACCTAGGAAAGCATATGTGAAGGCAATTGTGATGTTTAAGGATGACTGGAAAAAAGGCAGCTGCATTCCTTTTTTACCCTCCATATGACTGAAAAAGGAATGAAAAGAAAAACAGGAATAAAGATGGATTTGGTACAGCAGCTTTTTTTTTTTTTTTTTTGCAGAGTTGTTCTATGACTCTCCCTATCAACCAGCAGCAGGAAGAGAAAGTTAATTCTCTGTTAACCCTTTCTTTCCTACTTCTATAATATGGCTAAGACCGAACAAATTAAACAATCCCAGGGATGTTTTGGTAAAATAAATTGCCTTTAAACCCAGCACCAAGTGGATCTAGCTATTTACACGGTAAACCAGCCCTTACTTGACCCAATTAAAGTTGTTGCACAATAGGATCGTGGTATTAATTCACATGAAATATAAACTTTGTGGAGGTTACATTTATTAGGGTAACAGTTGGATGCATGGGTTTGTTTTACAAAGGGGCTACCTGAAAATCCTACCTGTTAAGGGTCCAGCAATTTTTGATACTACGACATACAAAAGCTTGGATCTGACATTGTTGGCAGCATGTGATGCAAACATGTAAATCTGAGGCACAGATCATATTGAAGTTCCACAATCTGTATGTGGTATTTATAGGTAACCATAACTAAAACAAAGATCACAGCCATCTGCATACAACAACCTCATACAATTGTAATTCCAAATGTTTTGGGCACAACTCAGAACAAACATAAATCTTCACATTATTTTACATGGCATCTCTGTTGAATCAGCAGCAAATCATAAATCACGGACATCTACACGTATTGAGCTAATACAGTTGTATATGTGCCACTTTCTGCTACTTCTATAGTGTACAGTACAGATCTAAGACATGGCTTTTCTTGATCGATGAATGCTGACAGATTTCATTTATTAACGATTTGGACGAAGGGATAGATGGGGAACTCATCAAATTTGCAGACGACACCAAGCTGGCAGGAATAGCCAACACTCCAGAAGACAGGCTTAAGATACAGAAGGATCTGGATAGACTTGAACACTGGGCACTAACTAACAAAATGAAATTCAATGGTGAAAAAGCAAGGTTCTACATTTAGGCAAGAAAAACCAAATGCACAAGTACAGCATAGGTGGCACCATGCTCAATAGTAGTAACTGTGAGAGGGACCTCGGAGTCCTAGTAGACAATCACCTAAATATGAGCCAGCAGTGTGCTGCAGCTGCCAAAAAGGCCAACACAGTGCTAGGCTGCATTAACAGAGGGATAGAATCAAGATCACTTGAAGTATTAATACCACTCTTCAATGCCTTGGTAAGGCCACACTTGGAATACTGCATCCAGTTTTGGTCACCACGATGTAAAAAAGATGTTGAGACTCTAGAAAGAGTACAGAGAAGAGCAACAAAGATTAGGGGACTGGAGGCTAAAACATATAAGGAACGGTTGCTAGAATTGGGTATGTCTAGTTTAACGAAGAGAAGGACAAGGGTGGACATGATAGCAGTATTCCAATATCTCAGGGGCTGCCATAAAGAAGAGGGAATTAAGCTATTTTCCAAAGCACCTGAAGGCAGGACAAGAAGCAACGGGTGGAAACTAATCAAGGAGAGAAGCAACCTAGAACTAAGGAGAAACTTCCTGACAGTTAGAACAATTAATCAGTGGAACAGCCTGCCTCCAGAACAGTAAATGCTCCAACACTGGAAGTTTTTAAGAAGAGACTGGACAGCCATTTGTCCGAAATGGTGTAGGGTTTCCTGCCTGAGCAGGGGGTTGGACTAGATGACCTCCAAGGTCCCTTCCAACTTTACTACTACTACTACTACTACTACTACTACTACTACTACTACTACTACTACTACTACTATTATTATTATTATTATTTGCTTATCATTTCAGGAGAATCCAATATAAAAATCTTATAAAATCAGGAGAATCCCCGTTTGCTGTCCTGGGTACAATTTTCCATTTTTTTTCTCTTATATTCTTCCCACCAGTTATAAACAGGTACATCATGTAATAATAATACTGTAAGAGATGTCCAAGCTGAGCCCAGGGCAAGGGTCAAATACGTCATCAGTCATGAGTCCACACCCACAAGAGATTTAAGTCCAGCCCACCTTAAATTTTATTGACTCTTATCTACAGCCAATTTGCTTGGACTGTTAGTAGTTCAGATTAAGCTTGCAATAAATCTTTATACCCATTTGAACTGTCTGGATCTTATGATTTCCCTGCAGCTTGACAGTACAAATAACTCTCACTTACCATCTGCCTTGTTCAGGGACCACTGGAAATTATAATAGTACTGAAAATATAACTTTATGACTTTTGCAGCGTCCCTCAGTCAAGTGATTGTTATTACAACCAGTATGCATTATACTGTGTCTGACCCATTTTGTTCTTCTCCCCCCCCCCCCCATTACAGAGTGAAGAGATTGGAAAGGAAGGGATTACAAGAGAATAAGCAGGCACACAATGTAGAATAAACAGAGCTGTTTGCACAGTAAGCATGAGACTCCCAGCCCCAAGCACACTCAGGGCTGACAGGGCCACTACATTGCTTTCAATATGCATTTCCCACTGTGTGCTTGCTTACTCTCTTGCAATCCCTTCCTCTTCAATGAATGTAAATATAAACAGAAATACTCTCCTTGATAATTATTCCAGCACTGAGGTGAGCATTCCAAAAGGTAGAGGAGTGAGGAAAAAGAACAAAGTCACATGATTTCCCACTTAGCTGTTGCTTCACTTAGTGATGGAAAACACCTGTAGAGATGGATTGATCTTGAAGATCATATAATCCAAACATCTACTAGTAACTTATCTAGTTATCTTGCCCAGGCATTTGACTGCCAGGTTATAAGATTCTATTATTGACGGATCACACCCAGTGATGATTAATGGATATCATTATACTAAATCCGTTAAGATCTTTCTAAGACACTAGAGCATAGGGTGACTGGGAGTGGAATTTTTCTATATCCCCAGTTTCCCTACTAGTTTAGTTTTCTCCAGACAAATCTTGCATTCTTGACCCTCCAGTCTTGCTCTAAATATCTCCAAACAAGGAGAGACTGGTGCCATTCAAGTCTGCCTGTTCCCCTTTCCAAAAGTCATACAGTAGGAAATTTCTTCTAGTGTTTGGCTAGATTGTTGTCTTGCCCACAGACTATGCTCCTGCACCTCCAAAAATATTTATTCTTTAACACAGCTTTCCGAGTTTTTGAGAATTGTGCTCCCAAGTTATCCTTAATAGATAGGCTGCCTCCAGACCAATGGTATTTAGATTTTTTTCCCCTTTAAAAATAAGCATTCCAAAATTACTTATACATTTGCTAAGACCTTTGTCCAAGGTCTGGCTAGGTTGATCCTAAATAAGAGAACCAAGTAATTTACTTAATTTATCAGATTTTGCTGCGTTCTCATATCACATTTGGTTGTTTTAACTTTTACGACTAATAAAATGTTTGTTCATTCCTTCATTTTCTTGCCATTTATGTCCATTGTGTCTTCTTTTCCTACTCTCTGGACAGAGAACCAACCATGTTCTGGGTGACAGCTCTCAGTTACTTGAAAACAACTAGCTCATAAACCCTACATAGTCTTCTCCAAAATTTAGACTTAGTTTTATGTTACGAGATAAGCAATAAAGCCTGCCTTTGAGGAGTTTCTCATCTGGGCCAGAGCAAATTTGCCCTCCCTGCTTTTGATTTTCCTTACAGAATTAGTGTGGACCTGGGGTGCCCTCTGCTGTTCAGAGTCTATGGAGATTAATAACCTCTGATGAAAAAAAAAAAAGACATTTCTTCCCCTCCCCAGCACATTTCGTGGTTCTGTCCATTGGAGGAAAAACCTACCTTTTCAGTATCTCTTGAAGAATGATACTGTTGGAAGTCAGCAACCACCCTCCCCGCTAGAGAAGGAAATATTTTGGGGGATATTAAAAAGAGGCAGAATATTATATTTTTCCCAAAGGAATAATGGAGGGGGGGGAATCTTAAAAGGCTTTTCTGCCCAAGTTTCACCCGGCAGAAACTGAGCAGGCCAGCTCTGTAGAAATGCAGATTTGATAAACCTATTCAGAAAGACTGGGCCACCATAAGCAAAATGCCTTCACCAAAATGTCTTCAGAGAAGTAGGACTTGACCTTTAGGACATAACCCACCACTATTAGAATGATGATTTTTCTTTCAACAACACCAAAGAGATGCCTGTTGCTGAGATGTATTGAGCATGCATGAATAACAAATGTGAGGCTTTGGGAGACAGTACAGACAATTACCCATCTGGCATTTATACCTTCCTAGCAGGGATGAGAGAGCAGTATGTCTCAAGCGGTAGCCTTCCCATTGTCTCAGTAAAGGTTTTTTCAGCCTACAACATGGAGTCTGAACATTTGGTGCAGGATGGTTTATTATCCCAAAAAATAACCCACACAACTGGTATCCTCCGATTCTGTAATGTTCAGCATCTAGCCTAGAGAACTGCGCATACAATAAGAGAGAAAACGACGTTCAAACCCCTGGGGAGAGCTGCTGCATGGCCCTGGATTTCAATTTCACTGGCTTTCTGCTCTCTGCCTTGCTAATGCATGTTGCTCTGAATCCAGCTGAGGTAGTGAGCAACATTGGTGTAAACCCCAGGTTTGTTCTTTTGGGCACACCCTGTGCTCCAGCTGACAATGCCACGGATGGTAGCCTTGCCTTGCTTTTCACATGCCAGGGGCCCACCAGAATCTCCCTGAAACACAGAAGGGGAGAAAGATAGATCGGCAAAGGGTGGCATCAAATGTATTGCCTTTTCAACTTTTCTTAATGAAATTGGTAGGCTGCCGTACACTGCTCCAGTCCCTTTACTTCCTGAGACCATTTTGTGGCTCTTGGATGTGGGGATTCTGGTTGCAGTCCTTTTGTTTTGAAAGCAGACTCCCTACTGGTCTGAACCCTGCCTCTGTCCTCTGCACGAAATTGCTGCAGTGCTTGTTCTGAAGGGGGACCTTTTCTTACGTCCTCAGAAAACCATAAAAGGGTGCCTGATTTCACTGAAGCAAAAATCTCAGAACAGCAGGTATGCAATAATCCTATACCTCTTCATTTCTACTTAAGATAATCATTCATTAACAGTAGGGAGAAATAATTGATAAAACAGGATAATCTGAAGGAACATTGATGGATATGCTTCAGCAAAATGAAATATTAGGTCCATATTTGCCATTCATACTTACTCTTAGTTTAAGGATGGAGTGTGTTGTTTTCTAATGTGAACAATCCATGAAGTTAGAGTGGGATACAATAATCTTCTGCTCCTCAACATTTGAGACCAACTTTTAAAGCACACACAGATTCTTCCAAGAATATAAGATCATCTTTTCTGCTACAGTATGTCCAAAGCTCTTCATTTGTAACACAGAAGTTACAAATATGGAAATATAATTTAATAATACACGTCTTTATTATTGGCGACTTGGTTGATAATAATATTAAGGAAAAAAAGTACTAATAAAGATGAACGTAACCAAAGCATATACTCCAATGTTCCTTTATATTTCACATCTTTAGAATGGGAAAGACAATATCTTTTTAAAACATTAGTTGAATCCCCTAAACCTGGAAAGTATGTTTTTTTATTGTTGTTGTTAATGTGGCATTATCCTACTTTTTAAATGTTTCTTAAAACTGAGATCATAAATTTGTCCCCACATTTTACATTTAATACAATGGAAGGGGAAAAAATTAAATACATGGGGATTAATCATATGAACTTATTTAATTATATATCAATTTTAAATCTATTTAATTTTAAAATTTATTTATTTGTTCAATTTTTATGGTCACCCATTTTGTTCTGTCCTTACTTTTGGAAATATTTGAATTTGGTAATGAAGGACAATACTGACAATCCCTGGCAAATTGAATACCTTGCCAATTCACATTTTGGAGAGAAACAAAATATATGTATACAGCATAATCAGATGTAAAGTTTTGAATGTTAAGAGCAGGGTTTTTCCAAACTTTTTGAGGTCATGGAACCTGTTAGTTTAAAAAAAAATGTAATCCTTGATCAAGAAGTAAAGGTCTAGTGCAGTGGTAGCGAACCTATGGCATGGGTGCCAGAGGCGGCATTCGGAGCCCTCTCTGTGGGCACACGCACTGTCTCCCCAGCCCCGCCTCCTCCCATGGCCCCCTCCTCACCAGCAGCCCCCCCCAGAGGAGAGTCGCCCCTGGGCGAGGCCCATGCGAAGCAGCACAGCCAAGACATGGTAGCCGGGCAGCGGGGACAAGACTCTGCCCTTGCGCCCCATCGCGTGCAGATGATGCTGCGGGGCATGTGCGGAGGGCGTGGCTGCCATGGCGCTGCTGGGCTGCCTGGGTGATCTGTGGCGGGCCGTGGAGGTGGTGGGTGGCCCAGTGGGCAGGGCAGAGCAGGGACGGGGGTGGGGGGCGGTTTTTGGGCACTCGGTCTCTAAAAGGTTCGCCATCACTGGTCTAGTGTATAAAATGAGCAATAAAATGTAAAATAAATTATTGTAAATGCAAAATTAGCATAACCAATGTACAAAAAATAAATCTTGACTTTCACAATTATTTGGGAGGTTAATGTTTTAACCAAATACATCAATGCTTTGGGCATTTTTCTTGTTATTGCACAAAAATGTCCAAAATGCTGTTCTCATAGCATTCTGGATATTTATTAGGCCTAATAAAAAATAAAATAATCTTGACTGAGTTTGATTGCCTTCACACTTGAACCGTCTTCCCTTGATTGATTTGGTCTAGGCTCCTCAGTCAACCAAGCTCTATATGAGTTAGGGGTGTCAGACATTTCACAATTACATTTCATTGTAATGCTGGCTGTGGAATTCTGGGAGTTGAAGTCCACATGCCTTAAAATTGTCAAGGTTGAGAAACACTGCTCTATGGGAAGTTCACAAAAAAAAAAAAAAAACGCTTCCTGGCCCACTTGACAGGTTCTGTCCCAAAGGCTAGACTTCCAGAAGGCTCCTCTGGAAGCTCCTTTGCTTCAAATAGGTTTACCTGACATGAATCGATTCTTCCTTCCAGGTATCCTGCACATAGCATGTATTGGGTAATCTGGGACCCATGTACCTCTGGGGAATGACACTGCTCATGGGGAATGATGGGCACATCTGCTTCCTGCAGATATACAGAGAGTTTGTCAGCTCCTAAAGGGGAATAGAGAGAAGCCAAAGAAGGAAAGCACATTGATACACATGAGACCTTGCTCCGTTTTTTGTCAGATGTCAGGACAACTAATGGCATTTATTCAGTTTTGGTACTGAACCCACATACTTGTGTTCCACAAAGTTGTCCCCCTTGATCACCCCCTTTTCTTTTAGCTTGGCTGCAATGCAGCTCAAAGGGCAAATCTTCTGCTTTACTATTTGCAGCACTCTAGGAGTTGGGTTGTTTTGCCATTCACCAGACACCTTGCCTGGTGGCCTGAATTCAGAGCTCTCTGGTAGGTTTCATAAGCAATATTTTAGCAAATGTGGTCTTAGTTCTCTATTCAGATTTTTTCCTTCACACTTTCTGTAAAATAGCCCTGCTTGACATTCCTTGTTTCTTTAAATAGGATGCATCAAGGTCTTGTCTCATCATGCCTTCCAGCTTCTGGGCTCAAATGAACCCTTATTCTCTCCCAATCACACACATACACATACACAGAGGCTCTTCAGTGAAATCCTACATTCATGGATGAAGCTGTTAAGGAAAACACCTGGATGCAAAATTGCAGTATGCCATCAACAGTTTTCAATTTAATCTGTCTAGAAGAGAAGGAAGGAGGACATCTGGGTGTCCAGTCTGCTTTTTCTTCATACCCATAGGTCAGGCTTGCAAATTGCTCAGACAGCATGAAAACTGAAACAGGGAGACTGGGAAGAGATGGGTGCTATTCTTTTTCCTTTCTACAGAGAACACAGACAAGGGGAGTTTTTGTTATTCCAAGAACTGCTTTAATTCTTGGAAGGTGGGACATTCATTGATGATTTTTGCTTTTTTCTATTTGTTTATAAGAAAGAGAAGTGGTTGGCTCCTGGTAATCTCTGCCTGTTCTCAGAATTCTGAAGTCTCTAGGAGTGAAAGCAATCAAAACAAAACATGTGAAAACACTCAGAGGAGACTGAAAAATGGAAACTGCACTACATGGAAGTTCTCCTAGAGAGTGTTGAGCATCAGGATCCATCACTGGGGAAAAAATGATCCCCTTTCAGTCAGCTCAGCCCTGTCAATTTCATTTACCATATGGCCATTGCAAAAACACATGATTGCTGACAGCCTCAAACCACGACTCTTGTAAGCAAGAATTTAGTTTAGTTCTTCAGGAAATGTTTTTACTAACCAGACAACAAATGAAATTACTGCTGCTTTTAAAGCAACTTTCTTCGACATTGTGTTCCCTAGATGTGTCAATCTAGTATTCCTACACTTGTTAACTAGCAAAACTGGACTTGTTTTCTAGGAAATATCAGAGTGGCAAACTGTTTCAAGGATATTGTGTGCTAGACCTTAAAGCAAATATCTCAGCAGAAGACCAGCAGTTTTCACCGAGTCATTGTACCGGTATAGTTTAAGACAGAAAAAAACCATTCTGTAAATTGCAATCTGTAAGCCCTATCTTGTTCTGCTTCGATAAAAGTAATGGCTACATGCCTTGTCTAATATTAAATCAAAAGCAAGTTGCATCTGGATGCCAATTACTGGAAAACACAAGCATGAGAAGGCTATGGCCCTTGTGTTCTCCTGTACGCATTGTATCTGGCTCTGCATCTGGGAACACAATATTGGGTTACATAGGCTCATCAGACACATTATAAGAGGCGGGAGACAAAATAAGAAAACATACTTTTCCCCTAACGAAGTTCTGGACGATGCTTGAAGTAGAATGATGGTCAGCCAATCAGTTCACCCTCTAAGTCTGGCTTCTATTTATCTGTTATCTGTTTACCAGTCGGTCCTTACCTTCATACATATGTCCCCATCCTGCAATCTGGCAGTGTTCACTGCTATCAGCTGCCTCGAAGGAACCAGGCAGACAAATAGGTGAAATAGAGTTTGAAAATTCAATACAACGTCCTGGGGACTTTTCCTTCAGTTGCACCAGAGCTGGGGATAACAGGCCAAAACTGAATTAGGGCTCAAATATGAGGATTTCAAGAAGCAGGCAGACTGAATGAAAGAGAAAAAAAGCTGGTATTGCTCTTGATGGAGTATGGCTGAAGGCATGGAGACTTAGACTGAAATAAGATCCCTCCCTCAAGAAGCATATCATGAGTTCTGCCAAAAGCCAGCATTATTTTTTACTGCCCCATGCTACAGCTACATTGCATAGATTAGGGTCTAACAATAAAACTGTGCCACTCTAGTCAGACCCAGCTATCATGGGCAATCCAATTCCACCGATTCCTCCCCCATCCATTAGGCAATTGAATTGCTTCTGAAATTGCTTGCCCTTGATGGAAACTGAGATATGCAATGAACACCTTGTGGAAAATCTAAGATGAACTAGGCATACTTTTTACTGAGTCTGGGAGACACTGGAAGCTAGGAGATATTCTTTTACAAAGCTGGAGAGAATGAATGGAATAGATATTTGTAACCCTTGAGGGCTGGAGTTAAAAGAAGAGGTCCTCACCAATGTCATGCTCCTTAGTTATTTGTGAATAATTTGCATGCACTTGATACTTCTGTACCTGGAACTTCACAGTGCCTTCAGTGCTGGTGTTGTAGAAGATCTGGCCAAGCACCACTGAAATTCTAGACACATCTGGCCTATAGTACAAAATGTATGATCAGCAGAATTTTTTGAGGTGAGGACTAGATCAGTGTTTCTCAACCTTGACAATTTTAAGGCATGTGGACTTCAACTCCCAGAATTCCACAGCCAGCATTGCTGGCTGTGGAATTCTGGGAGTTGAAGTCCACATGCCTTAAAATTGTCAAGGTTGAGAAACACTGGACTAGATTCTCTAAAGGAGCTTTAATAATGCACCTTCAGATGTGTTAATTAGAAACGCCATGATTCCAACATCTTAGAAAACTTCTCTGGAGCAGAAGTAGACAAGTCTTTTGAGGCAGGGGACAAGAGGCAGGGCCAAAGCTAGAAGTGGGGGCAGAGATTCCTTTTAATCTCTCCACCCAAAGTAGCAGACTATGAAGAAAGGAAAAGATCAGTAATGCCAAAGATCTCAAATGAATGCTTCAAGGGCTTTTGAATTAGACTAATGGCCTCATCTACTTAGGCCAAGGGGCAGAGACACTCAGCTACTTTTGTTTACACAACAGTAATCCAATGCTTAGATCAGTGGTTCTCAACCTTTTTAATGCCGCGACCCCCAACCGGTCGTAAGTCGAGGACTACTCAACTGGTCGTACGTTGAGGACTACTCAACTGGTGCAGCACTGTTTGCAGAATGGGACTTTTGGCGGGCTCAGCAGGGCAGAGACAGCCTGGACAATTCCTATTGGCTTTTGAAAGCCAATAGAATTAGACTCTATTCAAGAGAGTCTATTCTATTGGCTTTCAAAAGCCAATAGAATAAAAGGGAGTAGCACAGCTAAGGAAAAGGGGAAAAAAATGGCGGACTGCGTTGTTTGGCGACCCCCGTGAAATGGTCATTCGACCCCAAATGGGGTCCCCACCCACAGGTTGAGAACCACTGGCTTAGATAACTGTCATATGTTAAATGCCAGGGTTGTCCTTCCAGTTGATCAGGAACTTGCAGCTAAGGTAGAATGTGGTAGCTAGATTTTGAATAGGGCACCTGGCTGTGCAGGAGTTACACTACAGCTAAAATAAATTCATGGCTGCCTGTTAGCTATTGAATCAGGTAGATCCTAAACAACTTGGAATTTGGACAGCTTCTGGCAGTCTATCTTTGCTATTACAGCACAGGCCTGGTTAGTCACTAAGATCAGGGGTGTCAAACTTGCAACATCATGTGAAGTGTCGCGATGTATCGCAACTTTTTTGCCATTGCTGGCAATGGGGTGGGCATGTTTTTGCTATGATGTATCCGGCCCACGGGCCGGCAGTTTGACACCCCTGACCAATATCATCAGTAAGATCCTGCTGAAATTCCAAAATTCCTAACAGGTGAGTAATAGTCATAGCATGGAAAAAATACTGAGACTTGCCTGAATTCCAGACAATGTGCAGCAGTCAGGATCCAGCAGGAATCAATGAGGCTTCCTCCACAGAACTGCTCTCCAATGTAGAGAGCAGCAAGATAGGGATGGGCACCAGGAAGTGCCACCATACCCCCGACAATACGGCTGCGTGAGGAAATGACTTTTGTATAGCGCTGTCCACAAACTGGTGCTGAGCCAGTGGGAGACCAGGGTTTGCTATCCGCGTGGCTCATGGTCATCTCCTCCAGAGGTGGTGCTCCTGTCACTTTTGTTATCAGTTCACCTATGTGAAAAACCACCTGAATCATTCACTTTTGCGGTTCAACCATACTCAGCTCTTTCAGAGAGGATGATTTGCCTTACCAGCAGTTTGGGGTTGACAGCGAGTAATGTTACAGTATTCCCAAGTGATTCGCCTGTCTTGTAGCAAGAAACACCATGGTTGGGTGTCGTTATCTGGATTTCTGCCCAAAGAAAATATTTAGGATTTTTCAAGTTAGACTAATATTTCATTACAATATAGCTTTCCCTCTCTTAACAGTTTCAATGTTCTTTAATCTGTTCCACTGCTTAGGAACATCCCTGGATATTTGCTTTCTCTTATATTTATTTATTTATTTACTTTTTATTATTATTTTTTTAATAAAATTTATTGACTGCCCATCTTACCACAAGGTAACTCTGGGCGGCTTACAATACATTGTCTCTCTCTTTGATTCTCATTAAATGGATCTACTTTCCCCATTTGTACTCCTTAACTACCGCATATAAACCTTGTCCTGTCCCTGTCCTTTTTTTCTTGTGCTCCAATGAGGTTGCCTTCAACTGATCTCCATTTCATTGATGAGACTGACTTAGGCCATCCTTAGCTGGCATACTCTAGAAGTATTTCCCTCCTTATTCTGATGGGATGGCGTCAAAGTATGTACACTCTGTTCGGGCTGGTCACACTTAGAGGGTAGTGAAGTGGGCGCAGCAACTTGAAACAGAACCAAAAGAAGATTGGCAGTGGAGCAATACTGTTTTATGACAACTCAAGGGTAAGTGGATAGTCCTTCGACTCACCGGTGGAGAAAGGTCCACATTAAAACTTTGTCTCACCTGCAGAAGGCATGTTCCCCTAGACCCAGGCTTACTGCATTCCTGAATTTGAAAGAATACTCCATAAGCAGGATTGGAGAGTCCCAGGGTAGGCAAGGTGCCCCCGAGGAACTCCTCTGAGCCATGCCTCGGTATAGGTGCCCATTCCCACTGTAGCAGATTTCAGTGTGATCTAGGGCATGAAGAGATCAGAGATGGATTGTAAAATGTTGAAGGAAAATGTTAGGAATCTGATTCCTTAACATGAGGTCAGAATGCTCTCAGTCTTTTGGGTCACATAAAGGAGGCAGCTCAAAATATTTTGTTACTTGAGAGAGGGGCACTCACAGGGAGAGCTCAAAAACAGATGGTGGCCAAGATTGTGATCTTGATTTTCTTAATAACTCCTCCCCACAATGTCCCTGGCTTGAAGTGATGACCCACATATAGAGACTGACTAGCAGTTGAATTAGCAAGTAGGTACTATCCGATCAGGAATATGGAACAAATACCTCTGTTTTCTTCCTTGCCAACATTTTATACTACGAACTGCCAGCCTTTGAGGCAATCATTCTGCTGCCTGCTAATAGCGCTAGGGCTTGATTTTTGTGTTCTTTGAAACAGCTTTTCAGCAAGTGGATGCTAATGCTGGGCCCAAGGAATAAAGTTGGCCCTTTAGAAAGTTTTTATTGCATAGATCATCCTAATCAGTTCTCTCCCTCTTCTTTTACAATTAATGAACACAACATGCTTTTGTAACTCACAACCCACAACTCAGATTCAAAGTTTCTTTGACTTTATCATACTTCCAGCAGTGGGAGCCCATCTGTCCATAACAAATCAGCCTAGGAAACTATAAAATATAATTGCAATGACTGAGTATTATATCCAGAATCCAAAACCAAGACAGAAATATATAAAAAAATATTTTTCTCTCAATGGGCTCATAATTTCACCTTTGTTATTTTATTTTATTTTATTTTATGCTGCTATATGACATATCTGCCAATGTTTTGCCTTAGTGCTGTGAAGATGGATATATGAAAAATAAGACTGTAAACATACCTATGTCACACAGTGGTCCAGAAAATTTTTCAGGGCAGCTACAGACCAAGTTCTGGCCCAGCTGTACGCACTGACCTCCATTCAGACAAGGGTTGCTTCTGCACGCTGTGGATCCCAATAGAGAAAGATATAGAAGAAGCTGTCATGCCAGCTCAAGCAATGGTAGGCTCACATTTGGTAGCTTGTGCTGACTTAGCACCTGGATCTCCAACACGTCCACATTCCTTGATGCCTTCCAGGGTCCCTGCCACTCCTGATTTGATTTATTTTATTTCATTACTTTTTCTTTTATATATATTTTTATATTAAAATAAAATGTTATTTTAAAAACTGGGGGAAACTAGTGTAGGAAGTCAGCACCTCCCCCAGAGAAGGAAATATTTGGGGGGATATTTAAAAAAGCAGAATATTATATTTCTCCAAAGGAATAATAGAAAATCTTAGGCAGAAACCTCCCCCCCCCAAGTCTCTCTGCCCCAAACAGAAACCATCTTTTAGAAATGCAGATTTGGTTATTCATTCAGGAAGACTGTGGCCAGAAAGCTTGGAGCTGATGGGATTAGAAAGACAAAGACCCCTAAAATCTACATCCCCCACCCAAAATCTAAAGACATGACCTTTAGGACATAATAGGATTAACCCATCACCATTAGAATACCAAAAGGGCATACTGAATCTCAGGTCAAAGTTCATTGCACAGGAACAGGAACAACCTCAAACAGGAACAACTCCAATCACAAAGCCCAAAGCTCCATTTTGTCAGCCACCCCAGAAACATGCTGCTGTCACTGCAGTTTCTGGCAACTAAATAAACCGAACCTTCTTTCCTAAGCAGTCTCCATTTTGTTTATTCCCAGCTTGACTGGACCCTGATGAAGATTTTTAGTATTGTAGAGCAAGGCAACACTCTGAACTTCCAATATGTCTTTGGTCCACTTAGACATTCAGAAGCTTTCTTACAAAATTAATTAATGGGTGGCTTGTTCTCATGTGGCCCAATTACCCAGGAAAAAAAAGACAAAATTAAGCTGAGGTGGTAGAGAATCTCCAGGAGAGCATACTTATTTTGAGGCTTAATTTGTTATGCAAACCCAGCCTGTTTGGCTATTTTACAGCTCTATATTTTTTCTTCCTAGCATTTTTCCTGCAGGTGCAGAGTCCATTTCTTTAGATCAACCAAATGTCTATTAGTTGTAACAGGAATTGGCTGACCAGCTTGTTGCCCAAGCTGACATCATGGGCTGAGAGAAAGAGAGAGAGACTGGCTCAAAGTCACCTAGCTGGCTTTCATGCTGAAGGCGAACACGTAGTCTCCTAGTTTCTAGCCTGGAGCCTTAACCACTAGACCAAACTGGCTCTCACAATTCAATATATTGTATAAACCAAGAAAATCAGTTTATTCAATAATGTTGTGCAAACATGATCTATAAATAGCATTACTGTAATACTGGGGCCTAAGTACACATTGCACACAGATGCACATAGCAAAATTGCAGCAGTCTTTTAAAGTGTGCAGCTGTTGTAAAAAAAGTGCAGATTCCATGCTTGGGGTATTACAAAGGGATTCAAACATACAGCTGCCAGTAGAACTGTGCCCTAAAGGAACTATATAGTGAGACCACACTTGGAGCACAGTCCCTACCCCTTAAAGCAGTGGTTCTCAACCTGTGGGTCGGGACCCCATTTGGGGTCGAACGAACATTTCACGGGGGTCGCCAAACAACGCAGTCCGCCATTTTTTCCCCCTTTTCCTTAGCTGTGCTACTCCCTTTTATTCTATTGGCTTTTGAAAGCCAATAGAATAGACTCTCTTGAATAGAGTCTAATTCTATTGGCTTTCAAAAGCCAATAGGAATTGTCCAGGCTGCCTCTGCCCTGCTGAGCCCGCCAAAAGTCCCATTCTGCAAACGGTGCTGCACCAGTTGAGTAGTCCTCGACTTATGACCGGTTGAGTAGTCCTCGACCTACGACCGGTTGGGGTCGCGGCATTAAAAAGGTTGAGAACCACTGCCTTAAAGGTTGTATCATAGAATTAGAAAAGGTGCAAAACTGGGCAATCAAAACAAATAGGAGGCTGGAGCAGCTCCCTTCTGAGGAAGGATTCAGCACACAGGGCTCTTTACTGTAGCTTGGAACGAAAGAGAACAAGGAGAGACGTGGTATGCTAAGTAAACTCATGCCTGGCAGAGATCATAGGGCAAGAGAAAAGGTTATCACACTCTCTTGTCAAAGTTATTCAGGAATGGCAAAAGGAAATATTTTATATAACACAGTTAAGCTGTACGGAATTTAATGCCAGAATTTATTGCCAACAATGGGATTCAACAGCTTTGTGGAACATCAGCTTCTAAATGGCCACTGTCACTGGTGGCTGTTTACTTCCTTCTGAATCATGGGCAGTAGGATGCCTTAAATGCGGATCCTGGAAGGGGACTATCACCACCCAATCCAAGCTGGTGTGCATCCCAAATGCATCCAAGTGGCCACTGTGTGGCATAGTATGCTGGACTAGAAGGAACTGTAGTCTGATCCAGCAGGATGACTTTTACATGAATTTCTCATTAATGAATTTAAAGAAAAAGATTTTTTTCAAGAAGAGACACTTAGGATGAGAAGTGATGGTAGGTATTGAAAGGAGTAAGAACATTCTCACGCAAACATCTCCAGATCAACGAAGCCCAAAATATTTTTTTCTTCAAAATAGCCTCTGGATTTTTTTGAAAGATACACTCACATGATAGAGCAATGACTTCTATTATAATAGCATATACCTGTACTTTTCAATCTTGGCAACTTTAAGGCAGGTGAACTTCAACTCCTATAATTGCTGGCTGAGTAATACTGAGAGTTGAAGTCTACCTGTCTTAAAGTTGCCAAGATTGAGAAATACTGATATATACTATTATAATAGAAGTCATTGCTCTATCACAGGGGTGTCAAACTCTCAACGTCATGTGACATGTCTCGACGTATTGCGACTTTTTTTGCCATTGCCGGCAATGGGGTGGGCGCGGTTTCACCATGATGTATCCAGCCTGTGGGCTGGCAGTTTGACACCCCTGCTGTATCATGTGTGTGTATATGTATATGTATGTGTATGTGTATGTGTATGTGTATGTGTATGTGTGTGTATATATATATATATATATATATATATATATATATATATATATATATATATGTAGGTCTTTGGTTGTTCGGGTTTTCTCCCGCGTAAAATTGGAAGTGTCTTGGCGACGTTTCGACGAAGTCCCATTCGTCATCTTCAGGCTGGTGTTTTCAGCTTCGTGCTTCGAGCAGCAATGTGTGGTCTTAGCTGTTTCTTCCTTTTAACTGCCAGTGGAGGTATGAACTGATTGGGTGGGAGCTTGGCTGTGTTCTGATTGGGTGGAGGTGTGTTCTGAATGGTTAGGGGCTTGGCTGTGCTCTGATTGGCTGGGGGAGTGTTCTGTTTGGTTAAACCCCTCTGCAACTCAGACTAACCTGAGCACAACCAAACAGAACACTCCCCCAGCAACCCCCCCCTTCGTCGAAACGTTGCCAAGACACTTCCAATTTTACGCGGGAGAAAACCCGAACAACCAAAGACCTACATACAAATACCCGCGAAAACCTCAGAAAACAAATATCGAACCTCTACGGGGAGGAAATCCACCATCTGACCAGGACCTATGAAAAACTTGAAGTCCAAAGAGCTTCCATTTTATGCGACCTCGCATTCCTACGCAACTGCCGAGATCAAAATCTAATCCCCACATGTTTCCAACTGAAATTCCACTCCAACTCTGCAGCCACCAAACGGATCCTGAAAAGAACAGAATTGGCCCTAATCAGAAATGAACTTCACACAAAAAGATTCCTCCTAGACCGAATTAACAAAGATCTCCTCACACTCCACCTCAAACTCAGCAACAAGATCCACCCCGCACTTTGGGACAAATCCAAACAACTCGCCGTCTGGAGAGCCGAAACACAGACCACCCTCAAGACAGATACACACACCAACAAACTCCGAAGACTACAAGAACGCCAGAAACAAACCCCTCCTCCCTCACAGCCACACATGAAACAAACAGTGCATAACATCTCAGATAGGATCCTCACCAAAGCCGAAACCAATGTCCTTTCCAAAGGATTCAACTTTGCAGTCGCTCCCAAACACATCCCCACTGAAACCATTATATGTGGAGTTGAAACCAGCCTGACCAAAATCAACCCCGACGACGCTAACAGAATCAGACTCGAAATCACCAACATCCTCTGCACCAGCAAGCCACCCAAAAGCAACTTACCCAAAGAGGAACAGACAGCACTACGTAACCTGAAAGAAGACACCAGCATAATAATCCTACCAGCAGACAAGGGCAACGCCACGGTGGTTATGAACACATCTGACTACCAAACCAAATTAACCAACCTACTCCAAGACTCCACATACAAACCCCTAAATACAGATCCCACCACCTACCTGGAAAAAACCACCAGATCCAAAATAAAAGCCTCCCCCATTAGCGAAGAGATCCAGCAAAGAATCATTCCCAGAGAGAAATCATCCAGATGCCCCAAACTCTATGGTCTCCCCAAGATACACAAAGAAGGAACCCCACTCAGACCTATAGTCAGCTCCATAGGCTCACCTCTACAAAACCTAGCCAAATTTCTCGCCAAACAACTACAGCCCTATGCAGAATCCATCACCTCACACGTAAAAAACTCATTCCAGTTTATAGAGATCATAAAGAAACAAAACTTACAGCCCAGCGACCTACTAGTGAGCTTCGATGTCATATCCCTCTTCACCCAAGTGCCTATCAAAGAAGCCTTGACAGCTATTCAAAACAAATATAACCCCCCCAAACACATCTTAGATCTGACCAACCACTGCCTATCCAACACATACTTCATCTATAATGGACAAAAATACAAACAAACAGAAGGAGCACCCATGGGATCACCCCTCTCACCTGTCATTGCCAACCTCTACATGGAACACTTTGAAACCCAAGCTCTAGAAAAATCGGATCACAAACCCAAACTCTGGCTCAGATACGTAGACGACACCTTCATAATCTGGCCACATGGGAAAGAAAAACTGGACAACTTCCTCACACACCTCAACAGCCTACACCCCAAAATACAGTTCACCATGGAAACAGAAGCTAACAACCAACTTCCCTTCCTGGATGTCTTAGTCTACAAGAAATCCAATGGCTCCCTAGGACACACCATCTACCAGAAGAAAACACACACAAACCGCTATCTGCACGCTCTCTCACACCACCACCCAGCACAGATCAACTCTGTAGCCAAGACACTCATCTCCAGAACAAAACGCTTAGCTGACGAACAACACCTAAAACCCGAACTACACACTCTCACCAATGTACTAACATCCAATGGATTCCATAGAAATAAGATTACAAACCTAATCCAAAAAGAAACCCCCACTAAAATCCAAGACAAAGAACAAGAAAACGGCAAAGCCCTCCTCCCATACATAAAAGGCACCACAGACAGAATCAGTAAGATCCTCCATAAACACAACATCAAAACAGCATTCTGCACAAACAGAAAAATATCCACCATCCTTAGAAACCCCAAAGATAAAATTGAATTAGAAAATCAAGGAGTATACGAAATCCCATGCACCACTTGTCCCACCACATACATCGGACAAACCAACAGAAGAATAAGTGCACGCATTGAAGAACATAAGAACTCAGTCAAAAAAGAGGAACCAACATCTTCCCTGGTCCAACACCTTAAAGCCACAGGACATGAAATTGACTTTAAAAATACCAGAACCATTGCCAAAAGTGAACATTTTAATAACAGAATAATCAGAGAAGCCATCGAGATAGAAAAACGCCCACACAGCATGAACAAGCGAGATGATACCTCCCGCCTACCAGCCATTTGGAAACCCGCCCTTATTGACAAACGACTCCCTAACACAAAAAATGATACCAGACCCACACTCACAAAAACCACACAGGAGGTCACCACCACACATCCACGCAAAAAACAAACCCAAAGCCACACCGATGACGAGGCATGACCACAAACCAGAAGCCAGACCATAGCTGCATCATTAGCCACTTTAAACCCCTCCAATCTATACATGAAGCAAACTGACACTCTCCATGAAGAGGAGGCACGACCACGAACGAGAAGCCAAAAAATAGCAAGGCAGCCCAAAATCTTAAACCCCTCTGCAACTCAGACTAACCTGAGCACAACCAAACAGAACACTCCCCCAGCCAATCAGAGCACAGCCAAGCCCCTAACCATTCAGAACACACTCCACCCAATCAGAACACAGCCAAGCTCCCACCCAATCAGTTCATACCCCACTGGCAGTTAAAAGGAAGAAACAGCTAAGACCACACATTGCTGCTCAAAGCACGAAGCTGAAAACACCAGCCTGAAGATGACGAATGGGACTTCGTCGAAACGTCGCCAAGACACTTCCAATTTTACGCGGGAGAAAACCCGAACAACCAAAGACCTACATACAAATACCCGCAAAAAACCTCAGAAAACATATATATATATATATATATATGTATATATATATATATATATAGATAGATAGATAGATAGAGAGAGAGAGAGAGAGAGAGAGAGAGAGAGAGAGAGAGAGAGAGAGAGAGAGAGTGTCCACCTTCCCTTAAACTCTCACAGCAGTCTGATACAAATATTATATTATATGACAGAGGCCCCCAGCCTTTTGAGCATCGAGGACCTGTGCTGTGGAGAAAGGTTTTTCCGTGGACCAGAGGGGTCGTGATTTCACGTGCTGCCTGCATCGCACAAATGGGGCTTTGCTTGTTTGTGCAGACTGGTTGCTGCATGCTGCAGACTGGTGCCAGTCCATGGACTGGGGGTTGGGGACCCCTGTTATATGATATCCTCATGTATGATGTCCTCACGTATGAGGCTTCCTGCATGGATCTTTTTGTCATTTACACAGTATATCCTCTGTGGAATTTTCAGTTAAATTGATCACCAGGAAGCACCACATGATCAGTTTCACCTTTTATTGGAACTCATCAGATATGGGTAGAATAACATCTGGCTACGCATGTCTGACAAGTTCCAATAATAGACAAAATTGGTCACAGGATGCCTTCTACTTGATACATTAAAAAGGTAGAGTTCCTCAGATCAAGCTTGATTTCTGGGACTAATTTTAGTTGGAAATATGATCTTTTTTCAACTTCCCAATCTAGACAATAGCCCTAGGGTTGCTTACTGGTCTTCTGTTCAAATAATAACTAGGCCTAATCCTGCTTAACTTTTTGAGATCATCCAAAGTCAGTTAGATGCTGCCAGCTACTGTTAACACTATTATTTTTGATATTGCCTACTATATGAAAGTAACTCTTACTTCATTAGATTCTTCAAGTGGTCCTACTTCATTAGAAACTGAAGCTTAGACTTTGGGCAACATGCAGTTGAGAAGTTTGTCTCTTTTGTTTCAACATAATTGGTTTATATCTTGCATCTGCCACTTCTGACCTTTTCCATGCACCGTCTTGCAGAGAATCTTCTTTCTGCTACAGTGACACTCCTTCAGTCCAGTAGAGGGAAAATATTGCAGCCATGTTTCCTTTTTGCCCATATGCAACCATCTTTGTGATCCAAAGCAGCCTTCTGTAAAGTCAAGCCAAGGGGTGAGGCTGGATTCTGCTCATACTAACCTTCAGCAATACTGCCTGATTATCAAAGAGGTTTACAAAAACATCCCATCTCTCCCCACCCTACAATTCAGAGGAAGCCTATAGCCTCATTAGAATATGGAAGAGTTTCAAAGTTGACCGGCTTCTTAAAACCCCATTCCTACATAATAAAACTCTTTCTCTTTTCTTTTGGGCCCTCTATGCTGCCAGGAAGAAAAATATGATACTATGAAATCCAGGAGTCCTTCTAAGAGGGAGTTATGGCTATTAGTCAATCAGTTTGAAATGCCATTGGCTCCTGTGGGTGCAGCAAGAAAAAGCATGTTCTTTTTTTTTTATAATATTAGTTTTCTAATTTTACAATTAAGTATTTAAAAAGCAACGTGGTGACTGGATTAATCAATAATTCAATAACATACATAAATCTTTAGTACAAATCTCAGGTTACAACATCAGATATTTCCTCTCTTTTTCCCTTAATATCTACTATCTCATATTAGGCCAATATAGTTATTATTATCAACTAAGTAAAAACATCATTGTTACATTTATCAATAATTTTTAGCTTATACATATCTTATGTGTTTTACATTCAAACTTTATATACAATCAATGTCCTGTTATTGCTTTTTTCCCAAGCTTTAATTTCCCATCAATATTCAAATTAACATTTGGTATTTATAATTTCCAAGCTTTAGGTAACCAAAGTTTCCCTTATCTCAATTTCTTCCTTTTTCCCTTTTCATAACAAAATCCAATATTCTAAATACACATCTTATCTATTTGCACATAGTCTTGTTCTGTTTTCTAAAAGTTATCTATTTTCCACCATATTAAACCAAAAGTCTATTAATCTTGTTACACATCTTACCTATTCAATTATAATGTTACTTTATTTTCTAAAAATTATCTATTTTCCACCATATTAAACCAAAAGTCTATTAATCTTGTTACACATCTTACCTATTCAATTATAATGTTACTTTATTTTCTAAAAATTATCTATTTTCCACCATATTCAACCCTCTAATTAGTAATTTGAAATCCCCTCTAATAAATCAAAATCCTAGTTTTCTTCAGCCTTACTCTGGCTTTCTTCCTTTGCCAACTAACTTTCCATGTCAATACTTTTAATCATCAAATAGTTCTCCCTCTATTATTATATATATTATTTTAAATAAGAAAGACCATTTGGTTGCAGGTTTTTTTTGGGAAGAACTAGCCCACTTGTATTCATTAGATCACCTCCCTATTACTCCAATTTCCCACAATTGTCCTGATAGGTTTATCTTCCATTCAATCTGTTCTTCTTCCTATACCTGACAGGAAGGAGACAGTACTATAGCTCTAGAATCATACCTTTCTCACAGCGTCTCCCATGGAAACCAGCTGTGCAGGTACAATGGAATCCAATCTTCCTAGCTTCACAGGCACCCCCATTCTGGCAGGGGTTAGGATCACAGTGCCCTGAAAAGAGATGACTATAGACTATCATCCTTGGATAGATACAGCTGATATTTGACTGTGTAAAAACCACAGTAAAGCATGGGGGTAAAATTGGACACTGTGGATTGCAGCCATATCAGAAATATGGTTTCATGTAAGATACATTCACAAGGAATGTTGCCCCTGAAAAAAATCCTTTGTTTGGGCCATAATATGCAGGCTTAAAAAAATAAATAAACACCACTGACTTACCTGTTGGCCTTTCCTCTTTCCGACAAAGCTTCCATTGTTGGTCTCGGTCATAGTTTTCTGTGGTGGAGCACCTGATAGGGAAGAGTCTTGTCTCATTCAAGGTGTGCAGGGAAGATCGGCCAATGCCATAATTTGCACATTAATTTTTTTTCAAGGTCAATCAAGCCTCAAACTGTCCTTTTCTCTGCTCCCTGCATGCCCCAAGGTTCTCATTATTCCTGTGAGCATTCAATACTTTTCTAGCCAATCAATACTTACCAGTGCTGAGATTTAAGAAAGGCACGAGGGAGACAGGAGTAGTGCATTTTGCGTTGGTAACGGAAAGGGAAATGGCAGGATTCCTCACTGGATGATGTCACTACGAAGCAAAAGGAGATGGGTCTATTTCTAGTGCAAAAAAGCTGCCCTGTAGTTCTCCTATTTTAACTAGTGACCTGGCAGGGCTATTTAGCTTCCTTTCATATTTATGTACCCTTTGATTATAACAGAGGACAAAATCTTTTTATGCAATTATTATTTCATAGAATTCAGACTCCATTGAACTTCCTGTAATTGTTGAAAGGGCATCACGTTTTCTCAACAACAGATCCCAACGGATCTACAGCAAACTGGCTTTAGGGCCAGCAGCAAATACCATGGAGGAACGGATGGCTGTGAGCCACTCTTCCCCCACCTATCTTCATATATGCTAACTTATTCTCCATCACTGGCTGCCTGTTCTGATGCACCCCCAAATAGTACAATCGGGGGGTAGGGACCGCAATTTAGTAGAAATTACCCCAAAATTATAGGATAAAAATTAGTTAAGAGCAAAGCCAAGCAGCCAATGAGAAGTGAGTTTGTTGGAGAATGACTCCCAGAAAACTGCTGGAGAATATAAAATTGTAGCCTGTAGGAAGCAAGCGTGATTTGGGGTCTAGAACCCTCACTTTAATAACTGCATCATTAATTTTTTCTTTTAAAAATATTTTGATCCTTTATTATCTCTCCCCTCAATTCCTGCCAATTATTTCACAAGTTCAGATAGATGGTTGGATGGATGTATAAATATAAATGACAGAGGCACATAGAGAAAACACCAGCAGGTTATTCTTTTCCCAGCAGCAATCTTTTACTTTTTTATACCCCCCACCCCTTCTTTAGGTACAAATAGTGATCCTTCTTCTCCCATTTTCAAAAATGCCCCCACTTGGTCTATGCTTGCAAGAAACTATAAATAGTCAGTTCTTTCAAAAGCACAGGGAACAATCCTATAATGAGATTTACACTCCCTTACATCTTTCCCTGGTGAAAGATTATTGCATTTCTTAAGTGCTAATGTGGTGGTGGTGATGGGGAGATACTAGAAGCAACCTAGACTTATTCCTGATACTTTGGGCAGCTCCTGGTACATCAGCATACCAGCTCGTTCCTGCCCTCCTTACCCATTTCCTGCACCTATTAAATGTGGCCTAGCCAGAACTCTTTCTTTAGCTGTCCTGATTTCCAGCTATACTCTCAAGCAACTCTAATGGGGAGATGATGGGGGCAAGATCCAATTACTTGGTGTTGCTCATGGTGTTGTAGTGGTCCAACAGTGAAAGATGTGGTGCAGCCCTCAAGAAAACGTTTTTGGGAAACTCAGAGAAGTCAGAAGTTCCAAGCTTGAACTTGGTAGGATTGCTCCCTTTCTTTGACTGACACAAGAATCTCTGTCTCTGGGATGAGAGGGGAGGAAGGAGTAGGGAGGAAGTAGGACGGTTAGAGGAGATGGGGAGGGGAAGAGAGTAGGAGGGGAGGAGAGAAAGAGGAGGGAAGTAGGGAAGGTTTAGAGAGGGTGGACGCAGCCTGGGGGCAATGGGCAGGTGGTACCAATGGTTAATTGTATTTTGTATGAATAAATGGAAAATAAAAACTTTTTTAATAAAAAAGAATCTCTCTCTCTCTCTCTCTCTCTCTCTCTCTCTCTCTCTCTCTCTCTCTCTCTCTCTCTCTCTCTCTCTCTCTCTCTCTCTCTCTCTCTCTCTCCAATCATGTCCAACTTTCAGAGATTTTATAGACTAGGATAGCCATATACTCACCTTCATGTTTCGCCTTGTGGGGCTTACCAATTACACCCTGCCAAAAAAGCAAATGGCTGTGTCACAGCAATCTTACAAAACTTGATTTTCATTCCCTGCAAAGCAACATTCTATTCTTTTCAGGGTAACAAAACATCTCAAAAGGTGCTAAGAGGCTTACACTGAACTAGGAAAGGGACAAAGAAGTCATACGTGGTTTTAGTAAGGTCTATCTTGAAAAGCTTTCCATTTTCTTTGTAAGAATAGCAGTATAAAGTATTTACATATTTTCTATCCTATCTTTTTTTTTACAAGCTGTCTGCTTTTTACTAAATGTTCCACGTTATTTTTGTTTAGTTTTTCTTCTAACTTGCAGGGAGCCCTCATTTATCAACTGCCTCATTCAGCAATCATTCAAAATTATGACAACACTAAAAAGTAGGCTTACAATCAGTCCTTCAATTTGCAACTATTGCAGTGTCCCCATGGTCACATAATCATAATTAGAGTGTTTCACAACCAACATACATTTATGGCAATCACAGCATCTCACAGTCATGATTATTTGTGACCTTCCCAGATGGCTTCCAACAAGAAAGGTCAATGTGGAAACCAGAAATTTATATTGGTAAATCTGGACAACATAAGAGTCATTTTATCATGCTTGATGGACTTGTAAAAAAAACATACAAATTTGGGGTTCAGATACATACAGTGATACAAATAATTCCAAAGAACAAGATTTAACTGAAAGCAGAACATTTTTCTTGGGATTAATGGTCAGACAACTTGAAAAAAGCCATGGAAGATTATTTTTATATATGAGTTTTGCTGTGAGACCACTACAGTATGTGCAAAAATGAAAAGATTCTGAAACAACCTCAAATGGAGGAATGGTTGATAAAGATGATGGAATTAGCAGAGATGGCAAAATTAACTCATTTGTTTAGAGAAAGATCAGCTACTACATTTATTAGTGACTGGAAATCCTTAGTGGACTTTTTGCTGAAGAAATAAAAAAAATGAACTGATGATTTATGGATTTGTTGATTAGAAAAGTAGAATATGAAAAAAGGAAACTTTGATGTAATCATATTTATAGATGTAATACATTCAGTATGAGCATGTGATGTTTCACTTAACAATCATGCCATTTAGCAATGGAGCTGCAGGTCCCAATTGCAGTCGGTAAGTGAGAACTGCCTATATTTTACAATTCATTTGCAGCCATCCTTTTATTTCAAGACAAGCAAGCAACAACCTAGAAACTGCAACTGGTTCAGGATGCAGCAGTGCACACGGTAATGGAGGCTGCTGGTTCTATATAGGTAACACCTCTGTTGCGTGAGCTGCACTGGCCTCTACATTCTTTCTGAATGCAATTCAAGGTGCTAGTCATCACCTTTAAAGTCCTGTATGGCACACAGCCAGGTTAGCTGAGAGATCACTTTTTCCTGAGAACATCTACTTTTCCTAACTGGTCAGATCGAGTCGGCATACTGCTAGTCCCTTCCACTAAATATTTGATGGGACCTAGGAAGCCTTTTCCATGGCAGCCCCTGTGCTAATGGAACACCCTTCTCCCTAGCCTTCCATAAAACTCTGAAGATCTCTCTTTTCTCCCAAGAGACTGTATAACTTGGCACCAGGTTTTCAGTGTTTTTAACATGCTTAGTTTTATAGTTGTTTATAGTTTTATTATGGTTTTTATGTTGTTGGGGGCCACCCAGAGTTGATTATAAGATGAGCGGCTATATAATTTTTTTTAAATAAACAAATATTGTCCACTTACAAAATCTTACAACTATCTGTAAATTTTAATATAGTAAGTGAATATATGGAAAGTTATAACAGCTGTCTCTGTAAGCTGTTTTTTAAGCTGCCTTCCATAACAGAGACACGTAAAATTTCCATCCCTGTCAGTTAGAGAAAGCTGGTATGTCATTACCAGAAATACCACACATTTCCCATTCTTGCTAGACACTGTTTTCAGACTCCAGCTGAAGACAAGAACTTCATCAGAAGAGAGCTGGAAAGAAGCAACCAGGACCATAGCAAAATAACTTATGACTTAATATAATGGTATGAGGGAATGACCTTGGGAGTTGCAGGGTCCTATTCCTTCTGCTGCAGAAAGAATGAGAATGTGCAAAAGTCTCAGAAGAGATTTTCCTTATTTTCTTAGAGTATAAAAGCGAGAGGGGAAGAAATGTACTTTCGGACTTGCAAGATTCTACTAATATAACCTCACAATAATATTCCTGGATGTGCTTGTTGTTTGTACTACCTCACAAGACTGACACTTATGGAGAGAAGAGAACATGCTAGCTCTTACTGAAATGGAACCACCACCCACCACTAATTTCTATTATTTAATTTCATCCTTTATATAACACATGAGAAGGTTGCAGGAGTCCTTTTTCTGCTACTTTTCAAATTGCACAGAGAAATCACCTTTGCTGAAGGAAAAAACACACATACCTATTATGTCTCTTAAAAAGCTCACAAAAGAGTACAGCAACATTGTGCAGGAGGAAATAGCCTTGTGAAAGTTTTCCAATTCTTATCTGGAATTTAGTATGTGTGGGGGTGGTTTTATTTTGGAGGAAAAGTTACCATTTGAAAAGTCAACATGAAAGCTCCCATGAGAACAATTAAGAGCAGTGCTATTTGACCTCTGGAGTCCAAAATATAAATGCAAATGTTTAAAAATCTTCCATCTTTTAGGAAAATGGGGTAGCCATGAGGAAGGGATAGGAATGTGCTGTTAACTGTCCCTGGTGATATGGCAACAAATCCACACAGCTTCCACACATTTTTAAACAGGATCCCTAACAGTAATAAACATATATAAGGATGGTCCACAAATGCCATTATTTGAGTGCTGAGGAAATCAGTTGTTTTAAATAATGGATATTTTTCTCCCACAAGACAGACGAATAACAATGAAGCATATCTCATGTCACAAAACAATAGACAGAAAAAAACCTCCCGAGACTCACAAATCCCAGTCTTGTGCTTGAGTCACTAAACTTTAGGGCAAGTCTCAGGAACAGGTCCGAAATATTCTGATGCCTATAAGCTGGGGTAGGACACAGCTCTGCATCACATTCTTCATGATTCTAGACCTTGCCCATTCCTTTTCCATTTTGTCTCCATTCTGTCTCCCCATATAGACAAATACCTTATATGTGAAGGTTGAGAGTTGAGCATAAATACTAATAGAATGAAACAAATATGAAATTTGATGTTCTGGAATCTCACCAAGAATAAATCCTCTGAATTCAAAATCACAAATAGCAGGAGAAGCAGCAATTGCGCTGTCATAATCGTGTTCAGGGACGGATGAAATGGAGAGGTTTTGTTCACTGCTTTTGACAGAACAAACCGTTCCTGATCAATACATCTGAAAGCAAAGGTCTTTGTGTTAGGTGTACTCAGCAGGATAGAGATTGCCCCATGGGGATAAACACCGAATCATAACAGGTGGCTAGGAGCCAAAATAAAAAAGATTTAGTGTAAATCCCCAGTGGAACATGAATATTGTTGTGTCCTGAGCCTGCAAATGCTGGCTCGGGACGTTGCAATGGTCCTGGGCTTTGAAAAAGCTGCCCGGGACCAGACTGAGTGGCGCTGGCTTTGCGCGCGTGCGCAAGGCACGAAAAGTGCCTGGTTATGTAGCCATGTTGTCTGGGGATCGGGACATATAAAAGGAGGCCTGTATGCCTCTGCTCGTTGTTGGAGTTTTGGCTGAAGCACAATAAAGAGTTGTTCTACAGACATGTATCCTCTTTCTTCGCCTTCGTTTCAAGGACTTAACACTGGCGATGAAGGTCGGATGCTTCAAAAGATAAACAAAAGGAAGCTATAAGACTCACCCAAAAGAAGTCCTACAGAGGGAAAATGGCGTTAACATCAGCAGCCACCCTGCCAGTGCAGCATCGCTGGAGGGTGAGTTTGGCTAAAAGACCCTTTCCCTAAAGAAGCGAGTGGTGAAGCGCAAGTTACAATGGCAAAGATCGGCCTCTTATCTGAGTTCGACGTTGCACACCCAGAAAGATGGGAGTCATACGTTGCGAGGGTGGAGAACTACTTCAGAGTCAACCAAATTCGTGAAGATGGGCTGAAGGCTGCCACCTTGTTGTGTGTATGCGGTCAAGAGACTTTCTGAGATCTCTGAAAATCTAGTGGCCCCTGCCTCTCTGGAAGGTGTAACGTACACAGATTTAAAGAAGCGTCTAAAAGAGTACTTCCAGCCCAAGTTGTCCATCATTGCATGGAGACACATGTTCGAACAGAGGGATCAGAAGGCAGAAGAATCTGCAAGGGACTTTATTGCGGCATTGAGAAGAGCAGCCAGACCGTGTGAGTTCAAAGACTTAGAAGAAAGGCTGCGCGACCGTTTTGTATGCAGGTTGAGGAATAGAGACTTACAGCAAAAGGTATTCGCTAAGGAAGATGTCTTGTTCCAAGATGCTCTGCGAGAGGTTACAGCAGAGGAAGCAGCAGGAGGGGCAGTAAAGAACATGCAGCCCACCAGAAGCTCTCTGGAGACCATCTACCAGGAGAATGTGCGAGAAGAGTCGGAAGAAGTTCCTGAAGATGAGGTGGACAAGCTTTACCAGGCAACCGGAAGAAGACAGAAGGAATGAACAGAAAAGGCTTCAACAGCCCTTCAATGCTTCAGGTGCGGAGGACGCCACAAACGAGCTGACTGCCGGTTCCGTTCCCCCATTTGCAGGGCATGTGGTAGGCAAGGTCACGTTGCATCCATCTGTTTGGGTCATCAGAAAGCACAACCTAGAGAAGAATTGCATCTGAAAGGTACCAGGGTCCCCAGACAAAATAGGGTGGGTTTCTGCGCAACACGCAGAAGTGTCTTAAGGACAGGCACACATAAACCCCTAAGAAGAAACTGTAAGATTGCAATCTGGGGTGAATGTAGCCCCTGGCATATTCCAAAGTGTCATGGAGAACACATTGAGGGCTATTCCTGGAGTCTGTCCATATTTTGATGATGTCCTCATTGCTGGGGAATCATCTCAGACATTGGCAGAAAGATTAAGGGCTGTCTTGCTTAGTTTTAGAAGGGCAGGCCTTAAGTTAAAAAAGGACAAGTGTAAGATAGGAGTAAATTCAACTGATTTTTGGGGATTCAGGATAGATGCTCAAGGCATTCATCCTTCTGAAGCTAAACTAAAAGCCATCCAGCAGGCCCCAAGCCCTAAGTCTAAGGGTGAGCTACAAGTCTTTTTGGGGCTTTTGAATTTCTACCATGCATTTCTGCCACATAAAGCTGCAATAGCTGAGCCCTTGCATAGGCTCTTAGACAAACAAGCCTGTTGGCAGTGGACTAAGGTCCATGAAAAAAGTTTCAATGAAGTTAAAGCCTTGCTTACTTCCAGTGCTGTACTAGCTCACTTCAATGAGCAACTGCCTGTTTGCATTGCCTGCGATGCTTCTCCATATAGAGTAGGGGCAGTTCTTAGCCATCTGATGGCTGATGGGACACAGGTCCCTGTGGCTTATTATTCTAGAACACTGTCTTCTGCTGAGCGTAATTACGCTCAGATTGACAGGGAAGCGCTGGCCATTGTGGCTGGTATTAGGAAATTTCATGATTTCATATACGGCCGCCACTTCACGGTCTACACTGACTGTAAGCCACTGCTGGGGTTGTTTACCATGACCAAACAGACCCCACATATCCTCTTTCCCCGTATGCTGAGATGGTCTATTTTTTTTTGTCAGCTTATGACTACATGCTGATTCACAAACCTGGAAGGGAAATGGGCCATGCTGATGGCCTAAGCAGATTACCTCTGCCAATTTTGGAACCTGACCCTGCTCCAGCAGTAAATATTCTGTCCATTCAAGAGTTGCCTGAGTCTCCCCTCAATGCTAGGGATGTGGTTGCTGAAACAGCCACTGATCACACTCTTACACGCGTGTTGATGTAGGTATTGTCAGGTTGGCCTGACACGTGCCCTGACTCGGAGTTCCAGGGGTTCTGGCATAAGAGACATGAATTGTCTACTTTCAAGGGATGCTTGCTGTGGGGCAGTAGAGTAGTGATCCCAGCCTCATTGAGGTCTAGAATCTTAATCTCTCTGCATGAGGGATAGTCAGGATGAAGGTGCTTGCGTGCAGCCATTTATGATGGCCTGGCCTTGATAATGCCATTGAGGCCCAGGTGCATGAGTGCCATGTGTGCCAACAGTCTCGGAGTGAAATGCCTCAGGCCCCAGTTCATAGGTGGGAAGAAACTCAAACCCCTTGGTCTAGGGTACATATAGATTACGCTGGGCCCTTTCAGGGGCAATTCTTCCTGGTTGTTGTTGATAGCCATTCCAGGTGGCTAGAGGTTGTTCCTGTGACCTCAACTACTACTGCCAAGACTATCCAGGTGCTAAGAGGTATTTTTGCAGCTCATGGCCTTCCAGATGTTCTGGTTTCAGATAATGGTCTTCAATTCACTTCTTCTGAGTTCCAGGCTTTTCTTCAGGCCAACCTGATCTGCCATGCAACTTTGGCTCCTTTCCATCCATCCACCAATGGGATGGCTGAGCATATGGTGCGCACCGCCAAGGACGCCCTCAAGAGACTGACTTACGGTGACTGGCATCACAGGTTAACAGACTTTCTTCTTGCACATCACACCACACCTTGCAAAGCAACCGGGAAGAGCCCTGCTGAATTTTGCTGGTGTCACCGGCTCATCACTAAGCTAGACAGACTGCACCCTGACCGGGTGGCATCTCAGGGGTCTCATCCTCGAGCACCGAGGAGCCTGCAAGTGGGTGCTCTGGTTTGGACTTGTAACTACAGGCCTGGTCATCCATGGGTACCAGCTGTGGTCTGCAAGGTCTCTGGACCTCTGTCTATGAAGTGTCCTTGGAAGACGGCCGCGTTCTTCGGCGGCACATAGATCAGCTGGGTGTGAGACTGGACTTACACCCGTCCGCTTCTGGCTCTGCACTGGGGGGGGGGCAGGAAGGTTATAGAGTGCATTCTGATGATCAATGTCAGCAGCCAGTACTGGCAGCCAAGGAGAGCATTGATCCCCCATCTCAAGATTCCACAAGTGCTCCGAAAAGGAAGTCACAAACCCACACATACTCCAGCCAGGGAGTCACACCGGGGGCATCCACATTATTCACCCAGAACCAGTAACACTCCAATCAGGGAGACTGACCAGGGGTATCCACACAACTCACACAATGCACAAGAACTGGCAACACAGCAAGGGAGCAAGCTCAATTCTGCAATTGGTCCCAGAAGGAGGTCCTCCATAAGGGGGGCAAACAGAGAGGCTACTCCTGACTCTGGAACCTCAGGCACTAACTTGGGGTCTACTGGATACTGGGGCCCTGTAGTCACTCCTGACTATCCATCTGCTGACCTTGGGTTCGAGGGACAGTGCTCCCAAGAAGGGTCTATTGTGGATCTGGGGACTACCACCCCTCCAAGGGATGTTGGGTTGAGTGCAGAGGGCTTGGCCAACCAGCAGATGGGCAGATCAACCAGGTACTGGGGCCAGCAAAGCCCTGACCTACTGAGCCTGGCAGACGAGCAGGTAGGTCAGGCAACAACACCAGGGTATCAGGAAGCAAGTGGGCAGCAATGTCCTGGCTCACCTAGCTTAGTGGGCAAGGGAATGGAACCAGGAAACTCTCCCGGTCCGAGGAGGTCGAAAAGGGCCAAGTGCCCTCCAAAGTATCTTTCAGACTTTGTGAAATTGCTGTCCAGCTACAAGGGGTACTACCCTTAAGAATATTAGTAATAAGGTATTTTGCTTTAATTATTCTTTTAAGTGTCTTTGTTAACAAGAAAAAAAAACAAGGATAGGAAGTTGTGGGTGGTGGCAACATTAAGGAATGCCTTCCATGCTTGGCTGTCAGGATTGTCCAAGCTAGGGGGGAGGAGTGTTGTGTCCTGAGCCTGCAAATGCAGGCTCAGGACATTGCAATGGTCCCTGGCTTTGCAAAAGCTGCCCAGGACCAGACTGAGTGGCACCAGCTTTGTGCGCGTGCGCAAGGTGCAAAAAGTGCCTGGTTATGTAGCCATGTTGTCCGGGGATCGGGACATATAAAAGGAGGCCTGTGTGCCTCTGCTCATTTTGGCTGAAGCACAATAAAGAGTTGTTCTACAGAAATGTGTCCTCTTTCTTCACCTTTGCTTCAAGGACTTAACAAATATTATTTATGTGTCCCAGGCAATCTTCTATCAGCAGAAAATTGGCAATAATGCCATGTTGTGGGGATCCCAGCTACGTCTGTATAAAAGATGCAGAGAAACTTTGAAGATGTATGTTTTTAGCAGGGGAAGCTTTCTTCTAACGCTAGCACTGATGATGTTACCTTGTTTGGGTAA